CAGGAGTGAGATGCTGTGTCACAAGGGACCCACCCTGTCCTCTGGAACAGCCAGTCCTGACCCCCACACCACTCACATGTTCCTATTGTTTAACTTCCTACCTCCTCTCAAAACAGCTGTAGGTCATTTGTTTATTTTTTGAGGTAGATAAAAATTCATTTCATTTCAGGCCTGGCCATGACGAGTGTTAGTCAATGTGTCAGGAAACAGTCTGTGAATTGAAGGCCTTTGATCCTGTAAAGGCCACTCTGACTTCATGGTTACCGTTGACACAGCAGTGATTTAAAAAATCGAATTCCTCCATATATACTCATTTAATTCTCACAACACTCCTCTTAATTAGATGTCATCACCCCCACATTCTAGAGGAAAATGCTGAGTCTCAGAGAGGCCAAGTGACTTATCTGCAGCACCCACCGATTTGCATCCAGATCCGGCTGGCTGTGACCTCTGAGCTCCCCCGGCCTCACCTGCCTGTCCTTGAAAGTGCTGCCGGCCCCAACAGGGCAGAGGGAGCCAAGTGCCTGGCCAGGAGTCAGATCACCTGCACTACAGTCTCGGCCTGACCACCGCACAGGGCGCCTCGCTCACGCCTGTGGACCTCAGACCCCTCGCCTGTAAATGGGAGAGCCTGATCGGACCATCTCCCAAGACTTCTTCTGTGTGGCCTTAGTGAAGCCTTGTTTGGTGGTAACAGAAGCCCATTCTGCCTAAACAGGAATGGGTGATACAGTTCAAGAGGCCAGGAGGCCCTCAGAGCTCAGGCAGGACCTACAGCTGGACCAAGAGGGCCTGGGACCCGGAGAGTTTTGGCTCTTGCAGACCCCTCTGCACTGCAGGACCTTTCCCTCCCCTCCTCCGATTCATTCTTCTCCTTCTGCTAACTGGTTTTCCTTTCCTACAGACTGGCTTTTTCTGCATCTTCAGCTAATGGTGGCAGATGGCAACCCAGCTCCCAGTTACACATCTTCATTTGTGGGGCCAACTGAGCTCTCACCAAATTCCAATTCCAAATCCCCAGGGAGAGGAATCCAACTGGTTGAGCTCGGTCGGGCACCCACCCTGGCCCAGCCAACTGGCGCCTGATTACGTCCAGGAGGGCAGGGTCCCATAGCACAGAAGTAGGGGCTGGGTCAGGGAGATGCCCCCCACTGCTCTGTCCACAGGACAGGAATAGCAGTTGTAGGAGAAGAGACAAAGTCAAGTTTCATTTTGCTCCAGAGGAGGTGACATTGAGACCTACGGAAAAAGCACAAGCTTGCCAGGAAAGCTGGCCCGTGCGCAGCGTCAGCGGGAACGCCTGGCGGTGGCTCCCTGCGGGTCCCTCCCCAGGGGCACACAAAACAGCTTTTTGACAGCCAGGCAAGCCTGCCCCGAAACACACACAGCTGTCCTGTCGCCCATGAGTTGGGCGATGTGGGACTGGGGCATGAGGGAGCGTAGGAAAGGTCAAGGGATGGGGACGGCAGAGATCACTGCCACCAGTCCTCGGCGCTGAATTAGAGCTGCAGCATCATTTACATAAGGAGGATAGCGCCTCAGCAGATCGTGGCAGCTTGGGTTCCCTGATGACCTTGCTTCCGTTCTTAAAACTGGCACCTACATAGGCTGGAAGCAGCCTCACTCATCAAGTCAGCCAGCCTGGCACAGACATGGTGATGGATGTGTATTTCCAGACATGATTTGGGATGGAAACTGGATAGTAAGGAGAATTTTTTTGGGATTTCCCCCAAACCTGCTCAGTCCCAGAGGGCTCCATGTGACAGGAGACCCCTGTTGGCACCCGGGACCCTCAGGTATGTCCACAGTCCCAAGGCCAAGAGCCAGGAGGGCAGGAGTGGGTCAGGAGGGCCAACATGTGAATCCCTCAGGCTAGGCGGCACAAGTTCCACCAAAAAATACTTCCTCGGCCCCTGCCAAGTGCAGGGTTCTGACCTCCATGCTGAGGATGAAGATGAAGACAGCATAAGCTCTGCCTCTGGAAACCGCCATCTGCATGGAGAGGAAAGGCATATGCAGGCTGGAACAGTAAGGTGGGAAACACCTCTGCATGGCCGAGTGACCTGGTCCTTGGGTCCCTGGGGAGCTGTGAGAGCAGAGGGCAGTGCACGGGGATGACGGGAGCTGCCTGGAGCTCAGAGAAGAAGGGGGCGAAGGCAAAGACGTGGGAATGTGAAGGGCACATTTGGGCCCCTAGAATGTGGTGTTTACAGATAGGAACGGGGGAGAAAAGGTGAAAAATAAGTTAAGGTCGGAAATGCAAGGCCTCGAACGGCAGGTTAAAAAGCTATGTCTGTAATCCCGTAAGTGATCGGCTGTGGGGATGGTGTCTGAGCAAGAGGGTGAGTTGGAGCATAAAGTAGTAGTGAGGGAGGAAATCTCTGGAAGTGGCCTGGACAAGGGGTTCCAGGCTGTGAGAACAAACTCCTGGAGTCGAGGGGACTGGGTCAGAAGCTACTGGATACAGCTCAGGACCCAGACACCAAGAGCTTGGATTAGAGTGTGTATGGGAGAGGGGGGAATTCAGGAAAAAGCATTTGAAGTGGTTAAAGACTCCATGGGACCTGGTCGCTCATTTGCTATGTATGGGAGGCCGAGAAGATGTGAAGCTTTAATGATTAACGTGGTGCCAAGGGCAGAAAAAGGGCATGCTCTCCACAGCCACGCAGCCACGCAGCCACACAGCCACCAATTGGCAGGGGCAGGGCATCATTGATGAATTCTACACAATCTCTGCCCTTAAGGACCTCACATCCTCTTTTTTCACCCTCGTCTCTTAGGAAAAGGCCCTAAGAAGCCATTAAAAATATGTCATAGAGGAAGTGATTGAAGTGAAACGGGGAAGCTTTGCAAAAGGTACTTTACCTACATTCTCAGAAGTCCTCAAAATAACCAGAGGAGCTCTGGGGCCAGCTGCTCAGGGCAGCGGGCTCTGAGCCCCACCGCACTCCAGGTTTCCTCCAGGAACGTCCTGTCCAGGGCACCAGGTGGACAGGCTGGTGAAAGCCCTGTGGGGGATGAGGTCCAGCCTTTGGCCGGAGATCAGCCTGTGCTCCAGCTGTCAGCGAACTGGAAGGACAAGGACTCCTGTCAGCAAGTCAGGCAGAGAAGGGTTTGGGGACGCAGTGGGTAGTTTGGTTTCGGCTGTGCTGAAGTTGACAACCCTATAGGATTGCTCGGGTGTCCTGCAACACGGCAGCTGGCTTCACCCAGAAGGAGTGTCCAGGAGAGAGCGAGACGGAAGCCACCACATCTATGACTTAACCTCAGAATACACATCTCTTTCGCCATGTTCCATCCATCAGAAGCAAGTCACTCTGTCCAGCCCACACTTAAGGGGACTTCTGAGAACTGGGTTCCTCTTGAAGGAAAGAGTATGAAAGGAGCATCAAAGAATTTGCAGGCCTAGTTTAAAACCAACACAGCACAGAAGTGACTATGCAGTGTTCCCAAGTGTCTGGAGGCTTGGTGGCCAAGGGACAGAGTCTGGGAAATCCTGCAAAGATGGTGAGCAGAACAATGTCCTGCGAAGATGTCCGTGTTCTAATTCCCTGGACCTGTGAATACGTTATGTTACACGGCAAAGGGGAATTAGGGTTGCTAATTGGCTAACCTTAATATAAAAATTATTCCGGATTATCCAGGTGGGCTCAGTGTAATCACAAGGGTGCTTAAACAGGAAAGCAAGAGGCAGAAGAGTCAGTGTCAGAGTGAAGAGACACAAGAAGGGCCCCAGAGCCATTGTTTGCCTTGGAGATGGGAGGGACCGTCAGCCAAGGAAGGCAGGTGGCCTCCAGAAGCCAGGAAAGACCAGGAAGCAGGTTTTTCCCTAGAGCTTCCAGAAGGGATGCAGTTGTGCTAGCACCTTGATGTGAGTCTAAGAAGACACATGTTAGGTCCATTTCTTGTTGTTTTAAGCCATGAAATGCATGGTGATCTGTGGCAGCGGCAATAGGGAACTAATACAGAGCTCTGCCCACCCTTCGCCTTTGTCCCATCTCAGATCCATCCTGCTTCCATCACATGCTGATGACGACTGCACTTACTTCCACACGGTCCATATTGTTATTCTGCATGTTTGCCATCTTGCCTTTAAAGCTATGAGTTCCTTGCATATAAGGCCTACGTGTGTTTTGAGTTTTGCTTTTTCGTGTTTATCTGAAGCACCAAATACATTGCTCATTACTTTGCAGCCACTAAGAACTTGACCCGGAGAAAAGGGAATCTCTGTACACTGTTGGTGGGAATGTAAATTAGCATAGCCACTATGGAGAACAGTTTGGAGGTTGTTCCTCAAAAAACTAAATATTGAGCTACCGTAGCTCCTGCAGCCCCATGCTGAGTACATACCTACAAGAAAGGAAATTAATCATCGCCGACAGAGCTGCACTGCGGCACTGTTCACAATAGCCAAGACTTGGAAGCAATCTCCAACCTCGGTGTCCATCAGCAGAAGAATGAAGAAAACATCGTACACATACACAAGGGAGCACTATTCAGCCATAAGAAGAATGAACTTTTGTCATTTGCAACGGCGTGGATGGAACTGGAAATTATTATGTTCAGTGAAATAAGCCAGGCACAGAAAGACACACATCACATGTTCTCACTTATTTGTGGGATCTAAAAATGAAAACAATGGAACTCATGGAGACAGAGAATAGAAGGATGGTTACCAGAGACTGGGAAGGGTAGTGCGGGACTTGGGGGGCAGGTAGCGATGGTTAAGGGGTACACAAAGTAGAATAAATAAGACGGGTGACTACAGTCACAACCGTACATTTTTGAATAACTTCGAGTGTAAACGGATTATTTGCAACTCAAAGGTTAAATGCTTGAAGGGATGGATACCCCATTCTCTATGGTCTGCTTATTTCACCTTGCATGCCTTTGTCAAAACATCTCATGTACCCCATAAATATAGACAACTACTATTAAATGTATATTTCATAACACCTACCCACAAAATTAAACATAATAAAATGAAATTCCAAAAAAGAGAACTTGGCCAATTATTTATTAGACTGTAGAAGCAGCCAGCTTAGCAAAGAGATGAAATAAGAAGGAACTGGTGTGAAATAAAATATGAACACGTATGAATTACTCCTCCTTCAAATTGAAGACAAAGAATCACACCCAGGGCAGGACAGTTTGTGGAACGCTGCTCTGTATCTTCTTAACTGTCGTTCAAGCTGACAGTCAAGCTTCACCTTCCCTCAGTCTGGGACTTTGGGGCAGGCACAGCATGGCCCACAGGAGGTTGGGTGGTCACTGGCTCCTCTCCACCTTTGTAAAAACCTGAGGCCTCTGAAGGAATGTTCCCTTTGGGGGTGGAGGGAGGGAGAAGAAACCTTCAAGGGGGCAAGAAGGATGGATCCCCATAACCCAAGAAAGCCACCCAGTTCCTATGAGCAGCAGGGCCTGAGTCCTGCTTGGTGACAAGAACTCAGGGGAGGGGGGCAGGCAGGACTCGCAGCCCAGGGGTTCCCTGTGTCACCCAAGACACCTGGGCCCCATGCACAGGTGAGAGCTGATTACATGGAGGGAGCAGGCGGGCCAGGAAGCGAGGTCTCTCCTGAGACCATACAGACTGACGTCCGCTGCCATCAGGGGCCCTCCCCATGCTTGGACCTGGGACCTTTGCAGACCCAGGTGGAATGGAGGAAGGTGGTGTTTGGGAGGACCCTAAAATGACTAAGATGGAATTTCCCACCAGTGATCAGGAAGCAGGGGGAGGGGCTGGAGTCTGAAGTACACTGTTATAGAACCAAAAAGAAGTGACCTCCACACACTCAAGTTTTAGACTGGTACTCAAAACTATGACATCCCCTTTGGCTTTCAATGAAGGTTTTTAATCTCCAGTGGAGGCCTGGGGTAGGGGTGATATTTCAGAGGACAAAAGCCCTGACTACGCAGCTTCAGGAGGGGGAGGTGAGGAACCGGAACTGCTGAGTGCCTCTGCAGCTGCACTAGGTTGGAATCACATATTCGATGTCAGCGGGGCTGAGGTACAGATAAATCAGAAGGCAGCTCCAGAAGCCAAGGGTGAAAAGGGTGCCCAGACCTGGTGTGAGTATTTCCCGCTGGATGGGGAGAAAGGGCAGGACCTGAGGCAAGGTCAGTTCCGCCGCTGATGGCGCACCCTCCCCACCGTGGGAGCCCCGGGAAGCTGCCTCTAGGCTGGGCGACCCAAATCCTCCTTCCTGGTGCCACGTCCTCTACGCCCGAGTGGCTGTGCTGGGTGGCAGTGTCTGCTAACAGTCCCTACTCCCTGCACAACCTCAGGAGGGGTGTGATGTGAATGCGGCTGGAGCACATGCCCCTGGGGACAACAAGGCGCCCAACTGAGACAAGGCACATCTTGTATGGAGCTACCTACCCCTGATTGTAGTTGTTCTTTAGGACACACAACAAACATTTCTCCTGCAGAGGACAGAAACGGCACAAGAAAGATCAATTTCCCCTGGTCAAGGGCAGCCTGCTAGGCACCTCATCTGACCTTGCTGCAGGGAAGGACAGAATAAGAGGGTGGAGCTGGGGGGCAGGCGCATCCAAGGTCAAGTCCTGCATGGTCACGGTTAAGGAGGCTCCACAGGCCTAGAAGGCAAGGGAGGCCAGGGAGGGTCCAGGCTTGGGTGGTGTCCAGAGGTCAGCAGGGCACGGACCTGTCCCTTCACTATGATAACGGCACAAGCTCTCGGAAGTCACCAGGGAGAAGGAGCCAGGGGTCTGGCCCCAGTGCTGGGCTTGGGCAGGGCCTCACTTACGCAGCAGGTCCCACACTGATGCAGGGGATCCAGGGAGCCCGGTTTTGCTTTCTGAGGTGCCACCGTCTTCTTGTGAAGGGCAAAGGGTGCTCCATTGGCTCCACCGGCTCCGTCCACTTTCTGGAGCCTGAGCTGCGGGTCTCTGTGAGTCTTTGCCATCAGCCTCAGTTCCTGCTGCTCTTTTGGCCCTCTTCTAAGGGGACGTGGGGAGGAGGGCCAGGGAGGGCAGAAAGTTGGGGAGACATTTTCCAACATGACAAGGAAATAACCAGTACACGGGTCGCCATGGAAGGCCCTGACTCCTGGGGGCGGTAGGAGCCAAAACAACTTCAAGAGTCTGGGTATCCTCCAAACCCCAAAGCCATTCAGCAAAGGGAAGGGAGGAGATGCTTCAGGGATGAGGAGAGACAGGTACCGGTTACACTTACGGCTTAGTGTTCTTCTGTGTATTTATTAAAATGTCCATCTTCTCATCCATATCTTTCTGCATTTCCTTCAAGAGAGAGTTCAGAACTAGCATCTTCATTTTGAAGAGCTTTGGAAATACCTTCTTCCTGCATCTCTGCAAACCACTCTGCTTCTTACTTCCTCAAGAATCCTCACTAGACTTGGGTGAGGTGGCTTTTGGAGTGTCCATGACATGTACAGCTTCTCCCCTTCCTTTCCCCATTCCCCGATGAGACTAAGGCACAGGCAGAGATATTAGGGGACTTTTCTGAAGTCTCTAGGTGAGCCAGAGACCAGCCCCTGTTTTACCTAATGTCACACTTTGGATAAAACCAGTGCTCGCCTTGGTTTGACGCCTATAAAATGATGGAACCAAGAAGACCAATCTTGTGACCCCAAAGACACTTTGACTGCAATGTTCTGACCCTTGCCATGCACCAGAGCCTGTGTATTTGTGTTTGCTTCATCTTTTACCTAATTCCTGGCAAAGATGGTCAGTAACAAGTAAAACTGACAGCAGACACACATCACATGTATTACTCACTCAGAACAGAGAGAATAATGAAATCTGGACAAAGTTTTGATCTATAAAATTTGACCTGGGTAAATTGAATGGAAATAGTGGACATGAGAGAAATTCTAAGCTGATAGAAGCTATAATTGACAATATTTGTTACAGACAAAAACAGGTTTGGGTTGTCATAAAATGGAAATAAAAACAATTTGTTCCAATAAAATAATTTTCATTAAAAATGAAAGGTTTGCTAACAGTTTAATTGATCTACTGTAGAAAACTGATCAAGAAATTACACTGTCTGCATAGAGATGATTTCATAAAATATCTTCTTGAAAAGGATTTTTAAATGTTAGTACAAATTTGAATAAAATATTTGTGTTTATAGAGTCAAAATATCCTTGAGGTCAATGTCCCGTAGGTCCAAAACATCAGAGTGGAGATATCCCATATTCTTACACGTTTCACCAACACGTACCCCTTCAAAGTCATCATGTTCCAAATTGATTTTGTTTTCCCAAGCTAGCTCTATCTCCCCCACTGTCTTTGTCATGGTCACCACTTTCTTCTAATCATCCAGATTAAAATTTGATGTCACACGGATGCTTGCCTCTCGAGACTTCAGCCTCTATATTCAATCAGTCAACAAAAACTGTTATTTTTTCTTTCACTGCATCTTTCAGATTCACTCTTTTTCTTTTTCCCCTACACCTGGTCCTGCTCTGTTGTCCTTGCTGCCAGACATCTCCACCTGCTCCCAGGGCCCCCCCAGGCCGCCTTGCAAACAAACACCTGCCGGGCTAAGCTTTCTGAAGTGCTGCTCCCAGCATGTTCTTTAATCAAGAATCTCCAGAGGCCGCGTGATGCTCACAGAACCAAGTCCCAGCTTGTCTGCATGTCTTTCAAATGCATGTCCTTCATTACCCACAGCCTTTGTGCCCATTCATTTTTTTCTTCCTCAGTTTCCCCCAGTGGTCCCACTTCATGACTGACCTCCCTGCCGACCACCGTATACAACGCGTTCCTGCTGCCTCCTGCCCTGCTCAAGCTGTTCCCCTGCCTGAAATCGCCTCCTTTGTGCCTTTCCATACCAGCCACCCCCCTCAACAAAACACTTGCTTTGTTTGGATTAATAGAGAAATAATTAATGCATGCCCTTTATAGAAAATTTGGACAATACAGAGGGAATATAAAAGTATGAATATTCTGATCCAGAAATAACTGCTATGAACCCCTTTGGTAAGTTTCTTTCCAGTCTTTTTTCTGTATATATATATATATTTTAACCTAGCTGAGATCAGCCTATGTATATTACTTGTATCTTGCTTTTTTAGTTCTCGTTATAAACATTCTTTCTAAATATTATCTTTAATAGTTCCTAACTTTTATTATATGAATATTCCATAATTTTTTTTTTGAGGTAGAGTCTTAATGTCACCCAGGCTGGAGTGCAGTGGTGCTACCTTGGCTCACTGCAACCTCTACCTCTCAGGTTGAAGCAATTCTGCTGCCTCAGCTTCCTGAGTAGCTGGGATTACAGGCACCTGCCACCATGCCCTGCTAATTTTTGTATTTTTAATAGAGATGGGATTTCACCATGTTGGCCAGGCTGGTCTTGAACTCCTGACCTCAGGTGATCCACCTGCCTTGGCCTCCCAAAGTGCTGGGATTATAGGCATGAACCATTGCACCCGGCCGAATATTCCATAATTTGGCTATTCCCTTACTGTTGAAAATTGAGGTTTCCAAATTTTTATTTTTATAAATAATCCTGTGACGAACATCTTTTTATGTATACCCATGATGGTGTTTCTGATTATTCTCATAGGTTAAATTTTGAGAAGAGGAATTGATAAATCAAGAGGTTGATTTTTTATAGCTACTGTCTAATAATGTTCCAGTTTTGTATAAATCTGCACTGTAACAGTATAAGAGCATTTATGACTTGTACTATAATTGTTGGATATTAAAATTTTGTTTGAATGAAACAATAATTGATTGTTCATTTGCATGTATTTAATTATTCATGAGGGTACACCTTTTTAAAATATGTCTATTGCTTTTCAGTTATATTCTCTTCTGTGAATTGTCTGTTCACATGCTTGTCTGTTTTCCTACTTAGTTCTTATTGGTTTATGTGAACTTTATATGTTATGGATAAAAACCCTTTTCCTGTGCTTATATTTGTGGAAAAATGTTCCCCCAAACTGTTTTTTAATTCTGTAAATGTAAGGGATTTTTCTGTCATAATTCTTTTTAAAAATCTTACATAGGGCAGGGCATGATGTCTCACGCCTGTAATCCCAGCACTTTGGGAGGCTGATGAGGGTGGATCACAAGGTCAAGAGATCGAGACCATCCTGGCCAAAATGGTAAAACCACATCTCTACTAAAAATACAAAAAAATTAGCTGGATGTGGTGGTGCATGCCTGTAATCCCAGCTACTCGGGAGGCTGAGGCAGGAGAATCACTTGAACCCAGGAGGCGGAGGTTGCAGTGAGCCAAGATTGTGCCACTGCACTCCAGCCTGGGAAACAGCAAGACTCTGTCTCAAGAAAACCCCAAAATCTTACATACTCAAATATATCAATATTTCCTTTGTAATTTCTTCCATTGTATTTATATTTAGAACTTCCATTTACATATTTACTTAAAATTTCTTATTGGTTTTTATTATTTAAAATCACTTCTAGGCTATTTTACTTTACAGTGGTAACCAGATTAAGTTTTTTCCTCATATAGTCAAGCAATGCTTTTAATACCAAATCCTTTCCTTCTCACTGACATCAAAAAAATCACCTTTATCATATTGTAAATTCTACAGCGCTATGGTTCTCAACCTCGAATATACACTGGAATCACCTGGGCAACTAAAAACCACTGGTGCCTGGACCTCATTCCAAGAGCCTCTGACTTCATCGTTATGACATGCAGCCTGGACACGCGGAGGGTGTAGGGTAAGGCTTCCCAGGTGATTCTACCGTGCAGCTAACTGTGGCTAACATGTTTAGGAACTGGTTCTCATCCATGGCAAGCATCCAAATTGAAATGGAGTTTTAAACACCTCCGGCCCACCCTGGAGATTTTTATTCAGTTCCTCTGGGAAAGGGTCTGAGTCAAAGGAGTTTTAAAATCCTCACAAGTGATTCTCGTTACATCCCAGGCAGAGAGACTGTTGAGGTGTTATCTATCCCATTTCGTTCATGTGTTTGATTATCCTTGGGCTGATTTAATAACTTTGTTTTTATCATGAATTTCACTATCTGGTAAGGCAGTGTCCACTTACGACTCTTGAAAAATGGGTGCGTATTAGCTTTTGCCTGTCTATGCTGCTACATCTGTGCTGCTCAAGCTTTCCCCTGGGAACTTGTCTAAGATACAAGGACCCAGGACCGCCTGAACATGAGGCTAGGCCCTGTTTTATCAGTGTTCCAGGCAATTCTGAAACATACCACATTTTGTCAATCACTGCTCTAGAATCTAGATCATCCTAGTAATTTTTCGAGTTAGAATAGAATCTTATTGGGCTCTCGATGAGATTTGCATTAAGCTTCCAATGCAGTGTGCAAGGCTCAACTTGAGACTCACTTTCTCTGCAAGGACTTTGCTGCTTACTGCAACCCATATTCATTGCTCACGTCTCTAAGCCTTTAACTAGCAAACAACCAATTAATTGGCTTGCAATTCTCTCTTGCAATGGAATTTGGGACTACTAGCAGATAATATGCTCCAGGAGGGCAGGATGTGGCGTCTCTTCCACAGTTTCCAGTACGGCACTGGCCCATGGAAGGCACTCAGTAATGCTTACCTTCATAATTTCCACGAATTCATGAAGTTTATCAAAATCTTTGTCCAGTATGTCCTTTATCTGGCGAGGAAAAAAGGCATAGGATTGACAAAGCACAAAGCATATTATTGACGTTATTTGCGGCGTCTTCGGGGCATTTTAAGCAAACGGCAGCAGCTGCTCCTCTGGCACGGACTAATAATGGTCTGTGAGAGCCACTTTCCTCTCAAGGAGTCTGTGACCGAACTAGGGTGCGAGCACCATGAAGCCACCACTGCCACCAGCCTTGGCACGGCTTAGATCTGGCTACTGCAAGGCTGCATGTTGGGTGCAGACCACAGCTTCAATTACACTTTCTTGATTGATTATTCACCTGTTTTCCTAAGGATGCTACAGGTGGTTGGTTGTATCACAGAAATGAGAGGGTTTCTGCTCTGCAGCTTGCTCAGGGGAGATGCATAAGAACGATGGGGTTGGTCCCTGGCTGCCCCTAAATTTAAATTCCAAATCAGCCCCACTCACTCAGCTTCATCACTAACGTGACATCACCCACCCTTATCAAAGAGACACTTTAGGGGGTTCTCAGTCACTCAAAAATTGGGTTTAGGCATCAAACAAGTAAGAAGTGAGCAAGCTAACACTGAAGCGCTCTGGGGTTTGGGACTGAGTTACATTTTTCCATGCGATTCCTGCTTTCCTTCACTACAGGTATTGATCGACTTACGACCTATGCAACTTATGACCATTTGACTTCACGACCACAATCGCTAGCCACGACTGCTCCATGTCTGGCAGCACAAACGTTGCCCAGCTGGGCGTACGACAGTGCGGACCAGCTTCCGGCAGCACTACCATCTCCGCGTGCATACAGCCTACTCAATTTACAACAAAATCATGTTACAGCCGGTCTGTCGGAACCAATCATGGTCGTAAGTCGAGCACTAGCTGTATCCAACGGTAAGGATTGCATTTTTCCCGAAGCTACACTTTTCCTCCATAGGGAAGGCCTCATCTTGTTACCTGTTTTATCTCCTCCATTTTCTCCTTGAGCTCTTCTCTCACTTCCCTGAGTTCATTCTGAGGAAATAAAATGAAGGGGAGGAAAGGAGCATCTAGGATGGAGGGGAAAATGGCAACAGGAGGAAAGGAAAGATGTTGGGGCATTTTCAGAGAAAAACTTCCAAGAGGGAGGAAAGAATGGGAGAGACCAGGCACATGGGCTCACACCTGTGATCCCAGCACTTTGGGAGGCCAAGGCGGGAGGATTGCTTGAACCAAGGAGTTTGAGACCAGCCCGGGCAACATAACCAGACCCTCCCATCTCAACATTAATTAATGTTTTAAAAAGACTATAAGATAGTAAGACCTATAGGGATCATGTGTCTCTGCCAAAAAATGCACAGCCTGAGCCTTATCACAAGGAATCCACCAGACAAGGCCCAATGGAGGGTTATCCCACAACATAAGTGATCTGTAACCTGTACAAGTGTCAATGTTCCCAGGCCGGGTGTGGTGGCTCACGCCTGTAATCCCAACACTTCAGGAGGCTGAGGCGGGCGGATCACCTGAGGTCAGGAGTTCAAAACCAACATGGTGAAACCTCGTCTCTACTAAAAATACAAAAATTAGCCGGGTGTGGTGGCACGTGCCTATAGTCCCAGGTACTCAGGAGGCTGAGGCAGGAGAATGGTTTGAACCTGGGAGGCGGAGGTTGCAGTGAGCCAAGCTTGCACCACTGGACTCCAACCTGGGTGACAGAGGGAGACCCTGTCTCAGAAAATAAAATTAAAATAAATTAATGTCACTGTCAGTGTCCCCAAAGACAAAGAACTGTTCTGTTCCAGATTATAGAAAAGACACATGGCAATTAGAGGCAACATGTAATCCTGGATCAGACCCTGGACCAGAAAACGCCTCCTTTCCATTGTTACAAAATACATGTGTGGGACAATTGGTGAAATTAGAGCAAGGGCTATAGATGAGTGTTGTCTCTGTGTTAACTTCCGGATTTTAACTTCTGGGTTTAAATAAATGTACTGTGCCTATGTAAGAGGATATTCTTGTATTTAGGAAACAGGCATGGAGGATTTGGGGAAAACTTACTCTCCAGGGATTCGGAATATAGACATGCCTCCAAGTTCACGCACTCACCTTTAGGTCCTGTGTCACTCCTGCTTTGGTAAACGGCCCTTCTTGTTTGACTGCTTTGTAATCCAACATCTGTGGATTGAAACAGGAACAGAGACTATTGGGAACTGCAGAAGGAGAGATCCCCCTGTGCTTCTGTTCCTCCCTTAGGGCTAGGGCAGGGGGAAGCTGGTGGCCCTACGTGTGCAGAAGATTCCTCTATCCTTCCTCTTTCAGCTCCTCTCGTTCCACCCTCCTCCTGGCTCCTTTTGTCCCTTGGACAGCCAAGCCCATTCCCACCTCGGGCCTCAGTGCATGCTGCCTCCTCTGCCTAGAAGGCTCCTACTCTGCCTGTGCAAGGCCAGCACCTTGTCTGTCAACTCTCAGCAGCTCAAAGGAAGGCCTTTCCCCACCACCCACTCTACAGCAGTCACCCAGCCATGTCTCCCTGTCTTGATTCCCAGCAGAGCAGGTAACACTACTGAATCAGTCCTTGTTCATGTATGTAACTGATCGGTTACAGTGTGAAGTTCTATGAGAGCAAGAACCCTCAGTGCATCCCCCGGCACCTGGGACAGGTCTTGACCCCTAAGATCAGCGAATGACCCCTGACTCCAGGTCACTTCCCCACGGATCTCAGGCCTGGCTGCTGGCATGTCCTCAAAAGAGCTTCTTACTTTGGTCGGCTCTGGCTTCAATTCCAGGCAAACTGCCTTGTAGTTCTTGCTCTGCACAAAGAGGAGGCTGGGATTCAGGCCGGCAGCCATCAGGATTGAGGAGGAGAACATCCGGTCCTTGCAAGGGGATCCCGCCCCTCCCCCTGCTACCCCCATGCAACCCTGCCTGCCCAGCTGATGGGCTCAGGCTCGCAGACCCCGCGGCACCCGGATCTGATTCCTGGCAACTCAAATCTTGGTGTGCTGTCCTCTTCCTGTGGGCGTGTGCCTGCCCATGCAGCAGGCAGCCCTCTCCCTGCTGGAGGGGCCAGTGTGGAGAAAGCACTTTAAAATAACTAGAAGCGAGCCCGGAAGTGTTTCCAGGGCAAGGGCTTTGGCCATAGGCAGATTTGGGCTCTAATCGCAGCTGTCCTCTCTACTAGCTTGGTCAATTTGGGTGCATTGCTTAGCCTTTCTGAGCCCCCATTTCCTCATCTGTAAAATCGTGGTGATAATGATATTTATCTAATAATGTTATTTTGAGCCTTAGACCTGCTGGTTAGATGCTGGCAGGTCTGGTATGGGTCATGGAACCATGAGTGGTCTTGGAGGGAGGAGTGCTCCCTCGGCAGTGCTCCTCATCCCCAGAGGGAGGCAGCAGAGGCCTCTTTCTTCCCACCCCAAGCCCAGGGATTACTCTCACACCTCTTTCAGGCTGAGAGACTGCTTTATGCTCAGAACAGAGAAAGAAATACCAGAGGTTCATGGAGTGTTCTCTGTGTCCCCTGACCCTGCCACCATCTCCATTCAGTAGGAGCTCAGAGAGGCCCCAACCTGTCCAGCAATGTCCCTCTTTTACCAGATTTGTTTTCTTCAATTCTGCCCTCTTGGCCGACATGATGGAGGAGGCCAGGGTGTTCTTCAACTCCCCACAACAGCCCCCAGGACCAGGCCACTGACCTATGCAACTTACAGGTCCAGGTATGGGCAAGGTGACCACCTCTTTGTGTACAGAACAGCTGAGGTCACAATGCCAGGTCCCACACGCTGGTCCAGAGTGTCACCACAGCTTCAGGCCTGGGGGGCCTTGGCCTGAAGGACAGGCCTCAGGACAGGTTTCAGAGCCACCAGGCCTCCCTCTCACAGCAGAAGGAAAGTCCACACTCAGGAGGACCATGGCCTGCTACGGCTGAGGCACGAGGCACACGTGAGAAGCAGCGGCTCCTTCTGCAGCAGGACTCACATACGGACTCAGAGGATACACTCCAGGGACAGTCAGCTTCTCCTCTGAGCGCGCAGCCCATGTCCTCTGCTGTGCGTTCCTCACGCGAATGGACCCCACCTCAGGCCAGAAGCCACCTGGGGTTAGGGGATGGCCTGAAGTCTCTGGTTCAATGTACATGTGCCATCTTACCTAGCCTGGGTTACTCTGTGTGAGGTGGGGTAGCCAATCTCAGTAGGATGGTCTCTCATGTCTCTGGCCGCACAATGCCCCTGTCCCACAACCACTCCCCGCCCACCTAAAAAGCCTCTTTGCCTAGCTCTTCTATCTTCCTGGAAGAGGGTTGGGACATGAAGCTAAAGACAAGAAGCTTTGGGGGTGAATAAAAAAGAATGCTAAAGAAAAGTCCGTTCTGAGGGTGGCCATAGTTTGTGCTAAAGTAGACAGAGGAACATGGCATCCCATGGGATCAAAAGTCACTGGGAATCCGGGTTGGTGAACTTGATTTCTCTTTTCCTTTGATCACTGGGCATTCCACTTCCTTCTTCCCTCTCTTTTCAACTGCCAGTTGCACAGAAAAGGCCAGCGCGGATGTCTGAGGACAGACAGCACAGGAGTACAGGAACTCATGCAAATTGCATGTGAATGACATGCCCACACATGCCACTTCTGATCACACACATCCTCCCGTTTCATGCATCTGCTGGGGCATATCCTTCCCGCAGGCCACTGGAACCCTAGAGCTACCTGCAGCACTTCAGATGCATTTCCTTGGTGGTGATTTCCCAGCCCCAACACTGGTGACAGCTGTGGGTTTTACTCCATCACAGCCCGAGGAGAATGTGTCTGTCCCTGCATCATGGGAAGGAGAAGGAGTTGGGGATGATCACCAGCTTCCCAGGCCTCTTTCCCCATTTGTAAATGAGACGCTGGAACTTTTAAATTTCCTTGGACCATTCATTTCAGCCCTCCCAGATCTGATGGCCTCCTGGTAGAAATGCCCTTTCTCCAAGGAAATGACAGGGAAAATGACTGACTCCATCTCAACCTCCACCAGCCCCATGAAAATGGGCCCCATCTCCTTCTGCTAGTTTTGGCTTAGGGGCCTCGCGGACCTGCAGCAGAACTTCCCTTGCCTGACTGAGCAGTTGTTAAATGAGCTGCCTTCTAGCCAGGCATAGCACATGAGCCCACTGGTGTGTCTTTTAGGAAAGAAGGTCTAAGAGAAATCAAGGTCTGAATGCAAAACCACTTTATAAAATAAAAAATTATCTATGTATATATACACCTGTGCACATGGTACCATCATTTGGGCAGAACCTTAACTACAGACCTAGAGCTCTGGGCTTGTGCCTTCTCACAGCATTTACTATTCACGTTCTCAAATATTGTACACCATTGTTTTATTAATATGCTCTGGAGGGGCTGGCGGAGTGCATGTGGTGAACCTGAATGATTATTTATCTATTAAGGGACAGGATCTTGCTCTTTTACCCAGGCTGGAGTGCAGTGGTGTGATCATGGCTCATTGCAGTCTTGAACTCCAGGGCTTAAGTGATTTTCCTTCCTCAGCATTCTGTGTAGCTGGGACCACAGACATGCGTCACCTGCCCTGCTAATTTTTAAAATTTTTTGTAGAGACAAGGTCTCACTATGTTGCCCAGGCTGGTCTCGAACTCCTGAGCTCAAGGGATCCTCCTGCCTTGGCCTCCCAGAGTGCTAGGATTGCAAACGTGAGCCATCATGCCCAGTCTGCATAATGATTTTCATATTCTTTTAAGAAGCTTTGCTCCCGCATGAGAAGCTAGGTTGAAGCGGTGTTGCAGGGTTGGTATTGCTGTGGTATAACTTTGTTCTAGATAAGCCATAGGATGTTCTTACCCGAAGAATGCCAGACATGCTTTTCCTAATCCCCCTTCAGAGCAAAATCCATTTGTACCAGGGCAAGCAGCATAGAGCCCACTGCTGTTCCATCGGAGTTTGGGGAAAAAGGAATATTCACAACAGACAGAACGAAGAAGCCACCTGTCTTTGTTTTCCAAGTTGATATCATTTTCTTTACAAGCGTCCTGCTTTTTTTTTTTTTTTTTTTTTTTTTTTTTTTTTTTTTTTTTTTTTTTTTTTTTTTTTTTTTTCAGAGTGTACTGGACGAAGATAAAATAGGGACTTGGAAACAACATGATTGCATTTTCCTCACAGGCAGAAGGGCAGTAACTGGGAAGGAATACAGTGTTGTGTGGGGAGGCTGGGGTTGGGGGAGTTTTAAAATGGTCTTAGGCCCCTGAGTTTGTCCTCTTGTGATCTGGGGTCCAGCCCATGATGAGGTCCAGGCTCAGCCACTCCCCACATCAATGCCCAAAGAACATTAAGAGAATGTCATGTGTACCAAGGGGCCTATTGACCACTGGGGGACCGGTGTTCTAAAGCCCTTTGATTAGGGCGGAATGTTTCACAAAGACCCAGAATTCAAACAGACATAGCTCAGTACATGTGACCTAGACGATTCACACTTAGGATGCCTCGCTGTTTACATCCCGACAGACTGGAGTTTCTGGGTGGGTGCCCTCAGCCAGAGACGATCTCTGACTCACAGCCCCAAGAGAACCTCTTACATAAAATTTTTAGAGATCGCATATGATTCATTCCTGTGTTGTCCTGCTTGACTGATTTCTAGACACCTTGGAAAGCTTTACTCTGTGCAGGGTACAAATATCTTTGATCATTGACACACTGAGCACTAGGCAATTTCTGATCATTTTTATCATAGTGATCAGACCTTGGCTAGAATCATAATCCTATTAAGTTGTTTCTGTGGAAAACTTATATCCAGTTTTTATCACATGTACTTCCTGGTACCTCTGTTTCAGGAACTAAACATAACAATTGGAACAGATCATTGTAAATCTCTGGCTTTTTCAATACAGCTAATGACAAGTGAAAAGTCAGAACAAACGTACTGTGGGAGGATCTTCTCCTGTAAGTTCACCATGGCAGGCACATGCTTGCCAGGGCCTCCCGAGAACCAGGGGAACCCGTTACTATTCCCACAACCAACCATCACAGGGCACCTGGCGTGTGAGATAAAGCCAACGCCGCCAGCCAGCAGAGCTCTCCCTGCTCCTGCCAAACACGGCCCCTGAGGCCTCCTTACTTAGCCCATTCCCTTTACCCTCTTTGGACGGAACCCAAATAGAGTACAGTGATGATTTCACACCTGCCTCTCTCAGCCTCCCTGCTGGAAGGTGCTCTGCGGTTGCAATTTCTGCCCCTAAAATCCTCCTTTCCACCTCTGACAGCTTCAAATTCCCATCCATCACTGAAACAATCAAACCGAGTGGCACAGTAGTAGACTCTTGGGACTGGCCTTGTTGGGGGCTATGCTTCATATGGGGTCCATGGAGGGTGGAGCGTCTCAGACGGGAGGGGCTCCTTGGGTTAGTCCTGGGAACAGCCCTCGTCGCTCCCACTCACATTTCTTTGGCTGGAACATAATCGCAAGGCTGTACCTCCCTGCAAAAGAGGCTGGGAAACGCGGCCAGGTTTCTCCCAGGACTAAGGGGAGACAGGCTGAAGGGCCTAATCTCCGCCACGCTTCCCTGACACATTTCATCTTCTTTATTCCGCTCTAGCAAGTCTCCTCATAAGAAAACTTGATTTAGAGTTCTGCTCTTAGTGTAAAAGGGAAGTAGCTTACTAGGTCCCAAAGGGAAGCCAGTGGCTGGGTGTGGTGGTGCACGCCTGTGGTCCCAGCGACTTTAGAGGCTGAGGTGGAAGGATCGCTTGAGCCCAGGAGGCCAAGGCTGAAGTGAACTAGGATCACACCACTGCACTCCAGCCTGGGCAACAGAATGAGACCCTGTCTAATTTAAAAAAAAAAAAAAAAAAAAAAAAAAAAAAAAAAAAAAAAAAAAAAAAAAAAAAAAAAAAAAAAAAAAAAAAAAAAAAGAAACCTGCACTGGAGACTCAAACGGAATGAAATGTCCTAGCAAATGTGAACTGGAAGAGTTAGGATTAGGGTTAGCGACTCACCTCTGTGTCACCTGAATGGCCAGTGGGCTGGAGCACTGAGACGGAGACCGTAACAGCGGTTTGTTATACGTTTGTATAACTGTCCAGGGCTTTCCAGTGCAAGCGTTCCGTCTATCCCAGTCCCGTTCTGTGCAAGGCTTTGCAAACCTCCTCCCACCACAGGCTTCCCCCCTCCCGCGGTACCAGAATGTGGGGCTGGTCTACAGCTTCTCTTGCTGTCCTAAGCCCTCTGAGTAGGACTGGGGCCCAACCAGGTTGCCCTGGCTTTGCCAGCCCCTTCCTGGGGTGTGGGCCCTGCTGCTGTCCTCTTGGGTGAGAATCCGTAACTTGTTTCAGCTGAACCTTTGTGTCCACCTGAACTTGATTCCTGTCTGGAGTTGCCAAATACCGGGCCCCACCCACCAGACTTGGCAACAACTCAGATTGAGACAAAGTTTTTCAGAACCTGGAGATACTGACTGCTGGTTGGCACCTGGTGGGGGGTAAGCCTGGCCACTGACTCTTCTACAACAGGTTTACCTCCTTCCCTTGAACGTTCTGCCCCCGAGGTCCTTAGGACCTCAGAGCTGAGTCCATGTGAACATTGGCTCAGAAGGTTTGAATCTTCCTCTCTTGCTAGGGCTTCAGGCCTGGGCTGGAGACACAGCATCTCTCTTATTTTATTTATTTATTTATTTATTTATTTATTTATTTATTTATGAGATGGAGTTTCACTCTTTTCACCCAGGCTGAAGTGCAATGGGAAGATCTTGGCTCTCTGCAACCTCCACCTCCCAGGTTCAAGCAATTCTGCCTCAGCCTCCCAAGTAGCTGGGATTACAGGAGCCAGCCATCACACCTGGCTAATTTTTTGTATTTTTAGTAGAGATGGGGTTTTGCCATGTTGACCAGGCTGGTCTCCAACTCCTGACCTCAGCTGATCCGCCCACCTCGGCCTCCCAAAGTGCTGGGATTACAGGCGTGAGCCAGCGTGCCCGGCCTAGAGCATCTCTTACCTGGAGCTGTGGGGTGGTGATTAAAGTGAGGGAACTTGTAAAGCCAAGAGTCTCAGAGAGAGCTGAGGTCAATGTGCTCAAGACAGCTGGTTAAATGGGTCTCCAAACAGAGGAGCCGAAGGCAGATCCTGAGAGCTCTGTTGGAGAGACCCGGGGGAGAGAACAGAAGTCAGGGAACTGGTCCTAGCACAGACATGGCCAGCCTGGGAGGTCCTCAGGGGTGACTGATGGTGAGTAGGGAGAATCTGGGTGCATTTAAAGACTAAGAATTAGGTAACTTCCAAGGTGTTTACTCCTTTCTTCTTGTTACATCACTGAGCTCTATGCAGGGCTATGGATTTTTTCTCTTGTTGGCAAAGAGCATTGGTAGAATGCTCATAAACAGGCTGTATCATTTTCTACAACTTAGATTCAATAAATTTTATGTTCCTCTCACATTTCATGGCAAAATATTTTTCTTCTCTAATTTAGTTTAGGTTTAACAAAGTTAAACAGTATACATCCAGACTCATGTTGATATGCTGGACATAACATTGGGTTGTGTTTGGCTCCAAGTCACACACTGAAGAAACTCCCCGAGGGGCATCCTGTTTGCATCTGTGAGCGGAGCGAGGGAGCCGCTCCCTGATCAGCCCATCTCCAGGCTGGCTCCGAACATCACTGCTGGAAGCTTAGAGTCCAGCCTCATTCTCTAGTCCCTGCAACAATTAAATCCGCTGAATGTGGATTCTCATTGCAACTGAGAACCTAATCGACAGAGCTGGCTGCACGTTCCCGGTCACTGTAGATCTTTGGGAACATCCAGGTGTGCAGAGGTAACTCCTGGCTGGTGGCCCATGAGGATACTTCCTATGGAAACATCAAGGGTGTCTCCTTCGTGCCATATCGTGAATTCTCAGGGTAGATCATTTCAACTCGGGACCATGAGCCAAAGGAGCCCTGACATGTTTCTATTTAAGTCTCTCACGATTTTTTTTTCCCCAGGTGCTCTCACTTGGCTGGTTTTCTGCAGCCAAACATCAGACCTTTTATTGCATCCAGACACCTGGGACAGCCTTTTCCGAACAGAGGGTGGAGCCTCCTCACCCTGTCTGCTCACCCAGCGTGCACTCTCACCAGCCGCCCGGCTCGCACAGAGCAGCCCACGGGAGACTAAATGGGGAGCCGCCAGAGCCTTCTTCCTGAGGCTTCCCACTCCTCCCCACATGTGGCTCTCAGGTGTTCTTGAGCCGCGTGACAAACCAACACCTCGAAAAGAATCCTCTGGGGCCCTGGGCTCCAACTTGAAGCTGAGGAAGAGGCATAAGTGACATTACTCCCCTGGGTGGCAACATGTATGAAAATTGCCCTCAAGGGAAAGACAACTTGGATTGAATCAAACACTAGAGCAAGCTGCACTCATTTGCCAAATCCCCTAAACACATGTTAATTTTTTATCTACTTATTGATTAAACCCCATTGATCCCCTTCTTGTGCCCCTGTCGCTCTAAAGACCATGATGATCATCCAGAGAGACCCAGCCAGAGAAACATGGATCCCGGGGCCCACCCGGCTCTCAGCCCCACAGCTCGCTGGCAGGCGCAAGCTCTGGGCCAGGCTGGCTCTTAGCAAGCAGCTCTAGTTCAACATGCAGTGACACCACACCGATTCCCCTGTTCACTCAGCTCAGGCTTCCTGAGCATTTACCGTGTGTCCAGCACTCTGCGAGGCACCAGAGGCACACAGAAAATTAAGACATGGTGCTGGCTCCCAGGAACTCACTATCCATCAGGCTTACAGAGGCAATTGACCATTTTAGCACAAGATGGTAAATGTGATACTTGCGGTAGACCCAGGGAGCTGACGGAGCCCAGAGGAGGAGCACAGCCCAGCTACTGGGGCTAGGTTTCCGCCATGTTCATCTGGATCTCATTCCTGGCCTGGTGAGCTCCCCAATACCCTGGTTCCCCTAAATCCTAGCTCCCTAAATCCTAGCTCCCCTAAATCCTAGCTTCCTAAAGCCTAGCTCCTCTAAATCCCAGCTCCCTAAATCCTAGCTCCCTTAAATCCTACCTCCCCTAAATCCTAGCCCTCTAAATCCTAGCTTCTCTGAATCCACAGCAGGAGCCAGGCAGGGCCACTGAATGCCAGGCTTTGCCAGTGCCGGCACCTGCCTGAGCCTCTGAAGACAGCATACTCCCTCTGCTCATAAGGGGGAGTTCCCATGCATGCTGAGCCCTGAGGGGCAGTGTGCGCACCTGTCATATCAAATGGCCCTTCCTTCCATCAGAGACTGAGCTAGCCTGTCCCAGCAGGAGTGCTGCATACCAAATCAGCCCTACCTGTCTGCTCCACTGGCCCACGCTCGCCTTTACCTGGCCTTGTTACTGCACACAGCAGTTTACTGGACTTAAATCTACACATCCTCTAAGACCGATGAACAAGAAGGTGTTCTCTGAGCTGTGTGTGTGTCAGACTGATATTTCACAACATGGGGGTCTGGGCAGCTAACATATTCTTGTTCTTGGAGGTCCTGTCATTCCTGCCTCAGGAAATAATGTGCTATTCATAAACACGGCAACCCTTGGGTTCTGAGTATTGTTTCCTTCAGCTTTCAGTGCTCAGAGAATTAGAAAAATGGCAGCTGGCTAGGCGCGGCGGCTCACACCTGTAATCCCAGCACTTTGGGAGGCCAAAGCGGGTGGATCACGTGAGGTCAGGAGTTTGAGACCAGCCTGGCCAACATGGCAAAACCCCATCTCTACTAAAAATACAAAAATTAGCTGAGCGTGGTGGTGGGCACCTGTAATCCCAGCTACTTGGGAGGCTGAGGCAGGAGAATCGCTTGAACCAGGGAGGCAGAGGTTGCAGTGAGCTGAGATTGCGCCACTGCGCTCCCACCTGGCGGCAGAGCGAGACTCCATCTCAAAAAAAAGAAAAAAGAAAAATGAGAGCCGCAGAAGTCCACATGAAGGACACTGTGCAGAGCCCGCCTGGCGACCGTGAGACTCCTCTCACTGACACAGTAACCTTACCTGGCCTTCCTGCTGCTCCTCTGGACGCCCCACTGTGCCTCCACTTGACCCGCCGCTTCATCTCCTGAGCAGAGCGCATCTCCTCCCTCAGCTGTGGCACTCACGGCCCGGCCGCAGGGTAGCTGACCACTAGGTGGACTGCAGGATCCGCCTCTCCTGACCTTCCTTCCGGGGCAGTCCCGGCAGGAGACCCCAGGCTCCCAGGCCCCTCCCCCAAGACCTTGGGCCCTGGCTGTCGGGATGCCAGCTCCTCCCTCCTCCCTTCGTCCTGCTGGAGACCTGCAGTTCACCCAACCCCATGGTTCCTGATACCAAGGCAAAGTCTCCTAGCCCAAGGACATTTCTCTCCCGGCTCAGCGATAGGAATGGGCGCATTCTAAAGGCCCCACCCGTCCTGCTGTCATTCACAGCGTTTCCTCCCCTGGCACCTGGCTAATATGAGAGCATTTGTCCAAACCCCCACCCCACCTTTTTTCCAGGACAGAATATCCCATTTTTCAGATTCCCTTGAGCAGCCCTCAGCCACAGCTGCACCTGCCACAGCCCCTTCTGAGCTCCAGACATCCTCTCAAGAGTGCAAACCCCAGCTGCGTGTCCGGTCCCTCCTGGGGGAGTCCCTGTTCCCACCTCTGTAGCCTCCTGTGGGCCCTCAGCCCGTTTCCATAGCTTGGCTCACACCTAATGGGAGGGCAGCTTAGGAGCCGGGCACAGATGGCACCATTTCCTCGGGGAAGGGTGGATGGCTCAGGCTTAAGGAGACGTTGATCTGTCCCACTGCTAAAGAAGGATTTTTGGTTACCCTGAAGAGGAGCTTGGGGCCCACACCCTCTGCACCAGTGTGTTTCTGGTGGCCCTGCCAATCTTCCTTGCAGGTCCCTCGAGTCAATGGTTTGCCTGCTGGTATATAGGGAACCACTGTTATAAACTAGCTAGTGGCTTGAGCAAGCAGTGTGTGTGTGTGTTTCTTGGAGATGGAGTCTCACTCTGCTGCCCGGGCTGGAGTGTGGTCACATGATCTCAGCTCACTGAAACCTCTTCCTCCCAGGTTCAAGCAATTCTCCTGCCCCAGCTTCCCGAGTAGCTAGGACTACAGGCACACACTGCCGCACCCGGCTAGTTTTTTGTATTTTACTAGAGATGGGGTTTCACTATGCTGGCCAGGCTGGTCTCGAACTTCTGAGCTCAGACAATCTGCCTGCCTCCCTTGGCCTCCCAAGGTCCTGGGATTACAGGCCTGAGCCATCACACCTGGCCTTGTGTGTGTTTATTTAGCCCACATGACTACCCTAAGAAGTAGGCCCTGCTGCTATTCCCGTTTTGCAGGTGAGGAAACTGTTTAATTCAGAGGTTAATTTTTCTGATGTCACACAGCTGAATGGGGGAGCCATGGCTACAGAGCCAACACATGTGACCTGCACCCCAGGCTGCCCGCCGAGGGGCACACACCCGCCACCTTCCTTACCAGGGGAGTAGAGGGGTGGGCTGGGTTGACCTCTGCACCCTACGATGGCATTTCCCACTTGACATTTGTAAAATTGTGGTTTAAAACATGAGTAAATAGACATGAGCCCTGCCTTGCCAGGCCATGCCCGGCTGCAGGAGGGTAGGCTGCATAGTGCAGACGGAGGGACTCCAACCTTTCCCGCTGATGACTCAGTGCACCTGAGGCGGGGCCTGGACTAGCAGCCCTGGGAAGTGAGCCTGCTCTAAACTCCAGGTCCTTGCCCTGCCAGTTACATGGCCTTGGGCACGTTTCTCTGAACCTCTCTGAACTTGTTTCCTCACTTGTAAAATGGGATATCATAAAGTACCTACCTCATAGGTTTTCCACGTTTTATTTCTAAGAATTAAATAAGGCAAATTATGTAAAGGGTGTGATGCTTACGCCTTGTGAACAGAAACTGCCCCCAAAGGCCCCTAGTGCTTGGAGACGTTACCCTCCAGTCTTTACTCCTGTGCCAGGATCTCTCAGCGTAGGAAGTTCCACTTAGTGGAAATAGCAGTGATTCCCTTTTTAAAATAGCTCCACCCCCACCCCCAGGGCCCTGGACCCAGCTGAGGAGTATGCTGGGGAGGGAGTGGGTGGTGGAGGAGGCTTCAGGGACAGGTGCTCATGTGGCAGTCCCTGCACTGTCCCTGAGGCCAGCTTTTTCAGATGCACCCATCACATGTGCTGTGTGCCCAAACCACTCCCTCCTCTAGAACCCCCCTCCGTGAATACTTGAAACACATTAAATATTGAGAGGAAATTCATAATGTATCTACCAGGCTATTGGTATGAAATAATTGCTGAAGAAAATTATATGAAGCAGAACAGAAAAGACCAAAGCAGTTACATAAAACAAAAGGAATTTAGTAATTTGAAACGTAAGAGGATCAGAATCAGAGGTAATAGACATACGAGGTTAATGGGAAGAAAAATAGTCAAACTAGGCAAATAATGTTAACCCAATATTTACTTGCAAATGAATCAAGTAGAATTGTTTCTATGTAAGACTAGTTGTTAAAACAGCACTTAAACATGAGAAAGGGGTGGAATAACGAGAGAGACAAGCAGCAGTAGCTTAGAATGCAAGGATTCACCCTTCCTCTCCCGCCCCAGCAAAAATGGCTCTTCCGGTTGAAGGAAGCGGGCCTGGCTGCCCAGTACTGCGTGCTTGCCCCTAGGGGGCGCCCAAGAGCAGAGGCGCACGCCAAGGGATCCACGGATCCCAGAAACACCCCCGCCACCTGCCCGGGCTGCCCCCTGCTCTCCCCAGCAGCATAGGGATTCACAGCAGAACTCTTCCCTCAGGCAGAAGCGGCCCCACGAGGCACATGTGACTTCACAGGGCATGTCCACATCCACACAACCATCAGCAGTAAATCCTTTTTATCCAACCGTTCATTCAGCCCAGGGGTACTGCCTGCCCCTGCCGGCCAAGCACGGCAACCCACGCTTACAACAGAGCATGCGGAAGCAGGCTTAGGTTACAAGAGTTCAGAGCAGGGGGCAGGAATAAAGGGCATGAGCTCCTCACCCCAGACGCCCTACCTTTCAGGGTGGGCAGCTGCTCCTGAGAGCTGCCCCTCCGTCAAACGGGATACACCTTGCGGCTCTGCAGCGTCGGTAAAATGAACGAAGTGCAGCTGAGCTTGGGGTCAGGCGGTGCTTGAGGGCGATCTCAGCCCACACAGCTGACAGAGCCTTCTGAGGACACAGGTGATGTCCCTGTACTGCCCTCAGAGCACAGTGCTGGTCTCCAGTGCGTAGCGCCTGTCCACAGGGGCGAGGAGGAAACCTTCCTTTTGTTATATTGGGGTTCCGGGGAGCCCCCTCAGTTCGCCTGAGGACGTTTCTCCAGGTTCTTGGTCTATCCTCATAAAAGTAAATGCCAGACTCACAAGTGTTTAAAGAAAGTAATTTATTTAAAGAGAGAAACAGGAGAAGGAGAGAGAAGGAAACAGCTAACACCTAATATGTGAGAGAATCCAGACAGATGGAATCCAGGAGAGGAAAGCAGCTTCCACACTGAGTGGAATGGAACAGAGAGATGGAGTTCAGGAGGGAAGATGGGCTTCCACGAGAGAGTGTGGAAGGGGACCCCAGAGGGGAAATCCAGGAGAGAGAAAGTCGGCTTCCATGAGAGTGTCGTGGAAGGGGACCCAAACATGGAGTCTGAAGGGGTGTGGAAGAAGGGGACACTTAACCTGGGAGGAGCCCCACCTTCTCCAAGACCCCAGGCCAATGAAAGGAGTTCCTTAGAACTTCCGCTGGAGTGATTGACTCTTAGTTTCTTCCCACGCCCACGAAATTTAAACATAAACCGTTAAATCTCCCGGATGGAGAGAGATTGGGGGGGGGGGCATGGCCCTGGGAAGTTCTTGCCCTTAAAACTACGCCCCCTTGTGGACCGGGCAAAAGAACACATTCCCTCACTTTTCTCTGAAGAAATGGAACAAATGCTAGCTGAGCCTCTTCTGCGGGTCTGGATGAGGTTGGGTGCTTTATACATCCGAGGCAGGGTAAGCTTTGTAGCTGGTAATGCGTGTTTTTTCCCCAGAGCCCTAGGCAGGAGTAGGGCCTCAGAGAGGAACAGCCGTGTGGGGGTCCCAGATTCTCAGAACATCCTCAGTCACGCCATGGCAGAGCTGGCTGACCTGAAGTGACCCTAGGGACTGGAAACAGGGGCGTCTCAGTGGTGAGCAGTGCAGACAGGCCGGAGTCAAGACCCAGGCTCGTGTTCTTTCTCTACCGTGTGTGAGTGTGTGTGTGCCTGTGTGTGTGTGTTGTGAAAACAGCCCTGAAAAAAGAGGGTCTTAAATTTCTTCCTTACTTGGCAGGGTGAGTGCTCAGAGTGAAAGCTAAATTGCTTTACTTGTCATCAAGGTAGCAGAGTCACTGGGATTCTCATACCTTGGCATATGAGAGTAGAAAATGAGACAGACATTCTAGAAGAGAAAGTGTTTCCTGCACACTGGCGTTTGCAAAGTGCATCATATTCATAACAAGGAATCCTCACCATACCGAACCGCCATTGTCAAATAGCTATTATAGTCTCATCTTGTAGACGAAGAATCAAGGGGCAGAGAATCACTCAAGCTGGCCTCAGGGATCTTTCCACCGGGCCTGCTTGGATGGTTGGCAGGGGTGCTGCGGCCACAGCTCACACCTTTAGCAAAAGCCATGTGGGGAATGAAGTTCCCACTGTGGAAATGCAGATTGGGTTGTTCGGGAGAAAAGGTGTGGATTGAGGGAAGGTGAAAGTTGTCTGTCTATAAATAAAGGTTCACTGAACCTGGGTGAAAATGGCATTCCCACTCTAGGGGATAGGAAAAGAGGCTGCAGGGAGTTTCCCTGAACCATTTGGCTTCCTGTACCTCATGCAAACCAAGTGTTTATTCCTGTTCCACCCTCACTCTTGGTTCCTTTGATCTGATTTCCTGGCACAGCCACCAGTGACAGCCAGAGCTGTCCCCGCCGACCCTCACCTCTGTGTCTTGTCCAAGGCATCTCTTCATCCATGCATTTAAGGTCTCTATGTACCTAACAGAACACTGCCTAGGAGCTGCAATCCAGAGAGAAAAAATAATAGCAAACACTACTGTATTCGTCAGGGTTCTCCAGAGGGACAGAGCTAATAGAATAAATGTATATATAAAGAGGAGTTTATTAAGGAGTACTGACTCACACGATCACAAGGTGAGGTCCCACAATAGGCTGTCTGCAAGCTGAGGAAGAAGGAGGCCAGTCCAAATCCCAAAGCTGAAGAACTTGGAGTCCACTGTTTGAAGGCAGGCAGCATCCAGCATGGGAGAAGGATGTAGCTTGAGGCTAAGCCCGTCTAGTTTTTCCTTGTTCTTCTGCTTGTTTTTATTCTGGCTGTACTGGCAGCTGATTAGATTGTGCCCACCCAGGTGAAGGGTGGCTCTGCCTTTCCCAGTTCTGCTGACTCAAATGTTCATCTCCTCTGGCAATACCCTCACGACACACCCGGGATCAATACTTTGCATCCTTTAATCCAATCGAGTTGACACTCCGTATTAACCGTCACAGTTACTAATGATAAGTTAATGCTTACCATTTATTGAAAGGTTTTATTGAGCTTGTGACGGGCTGAGAGCTTTGTAACTGGCAAAGTCCCTGCTCTCAAGGAGCTCACAGTTAGAAAGGAAAGAAACACAGATGGAATTTCAGCCTGGAGTTCCAAGTGCTGCCCTCAGGGAGATGCTGGGCCTGAGCTGGGCTGAGGCTGCAGAGCCCTTCCTGGAGAGACTTGAGGGAGATGCCTGGGGGAATGGTTAAATGACTAGGTCACTGGCAGGATGGCATCCTCTAGGTCAGGACTGTCAGGTTCTCTTCTGTCCCCAGAGGGTGGTCCTGAGAGGCCCTGGCACACACTTCTGGGAGGAAATCATCCGAGGTCATCGCTGCACAAGATGATTCTGTGGCAGGACATTTTTGTGGATGCATTAACAGTTTTCCCCTTTCCCTTTTGCCCATTCAGAGGGGCTGTTTGCCCTTCCATCAGGGAAGGCTGAGAAGGAGTGGAGGTTAAGAAAAAAGAGAGCCTTCAGACTGTGTTTCTGAAAGCTTTGCCCTTAGGGCAGCAGAGAGGGCTCTGGGCCTAAACAGCATATTGGATGTTGTGGAAGAGAGAACACAAGCAAGCTGGTTTTGGTTCCCCAGAGAAAGTGCCTGTGCTTTATTTTGTTTTATTTATTTATTTATTTATTTAATTTTAGAGACAGGGTCTTGCCCTGTCTCCCAGGCTGGAGTGCAATGGTACAATCACAACTCACCGCAGCCTCAACCTCCCAGCTCAAGCAATCCTCCCACCTCAGCCTCCTGAGTAGTAGCTGAGACTCCAGGCATGCATCACCATGCTCTGCTAATGTTTAATTTTTGCAGAGATGGAGTCTCACTATGTTGCCCAGGCTGGTCTCAAATTCCTGGGCACAGGCAATCCTACTGCCTCGGCTGGGACTACAGGTGCATGCCACGGTGTCCAGTCCAGTTCCGTGCTTCATTTTGGCACCAGAGCCTAGACTGCGCGTGGGGGCCTCCGACCGTGTGGAAGCAGAGCTCATGCTTTTCAGTGTCCTAAGCTTGAATTGCTGTCTCACCACTGCCTGCCGTGTAGTCTTGAGCAGGCTGTTTCACTTCTAGCTGGTTTCTCCCTTGTGAAACAGGGAAAATGATAGCTGTCTCCTGGGTGTGGTTGCTGTGAGGAGGGGCAGGGGTGAGTCTGGCAAAGCCTGGTCCACAATTTCCAGCTCCTTCTCCCTCCTCACCCCCTTCTTCCCCCTCCTTCCTTTCTGCCCTTGCCCCTCTGACCCTGAGAACTCCTGGGGTCTAGCCTCACCCTGCCCTCTGCTCCCCTAACTGCCTTTCTCTCCCAGCAGCCAGCCCCAAGTTGGGTTCCTTCCCTCCCTGATCTGGTTATTCATTACAGGATCCATGTTGCCTTCCTCCTAAGTTGCAGGAAGACCTCTGAAGATGCCCTGAAAAATCAACTCGAAAAAGGCAGATTAATTGGAGGAAAGGCATACAAATTTATTTAACCCGTGTCCCTGGGAGCCTTCAGAATGAAGATCCAAAGATACAGGGGGAAATCGTCCATTTTTATGCTTAGGTTCAACAAACTGTGGGCAGCTGTGCAGAAATATGAGTGGACTCAAAGTGTCTGACCTAATGGACTGAGTGGGGAGACCCAGCCAGGCCTGTGGGTCTGGCTTCTTGGCTCCTCTGAGCATGAAGTCCTTCCTCTGGGTGTGGGGCAGGGCCCTCTCTGGAATGGGGGGTCTCATGACCCGCAGTCAAACAATGATCCCTTCAGATCATGTCTTAGTTTTTACACGGCAAGGCAGGGGAGAGTTGGAGTAGTATTTTTAGGCTTTATGGCTGGCTTTGGGGAAACCGGCTTCTGGTTCCCGTGGCTGGCCTTGGGGAGAGCGTGGGTGAGAGACAGGAGGGCAGGAGGTCGGAGAAAAACTTCGCCTTCTGAGGCCCCACACAGGGACCTCTTCCGCGCCCTCCACGTGGCATCCCCAGCACTTCACACTGCAGCTGGCAGCAGCAGGCGCTGGGTGTTCGTTTAGTAAAATCCCGCAGTTTGGGTAGCAAAGAGGAGGAGAGCAGAGAGCAAGGAAGAAAACGCCAGAAGGTCAGACGCAGCCTCGGCCACAGGCTCCGCCGGCTCCGGGGGCCTGTCCCGTGCCCCGCCAGCGCCCACCAGTGCCCCGCCAGCGCCCGCCAGTGCCCCGCCAGTGCCCGCCAGTGTCCGCCAGAGCCCCGCCAGTGCCCGCCAGTGTCCGCCAGCGCCCGCCAGTGCCTGCCAGTGCCCGCCAGTGTCCGCCAGCGCCCGCCAGCGCCCAGCCATGCTGCCCCGGGCGCTGCAGCTCTCCCTGTGCGCAGCAGGTGAGGCCCCGGCCTGGAGGAGGTTGCCTGGCGCCATGCTCCCCAGGGCTGGGAGCTGAGGGAAGGGGGCGCTCCCCTGAAGCGCCCAGATTTCCAGGTTGGAGGGAAGGCAAGGTGGAAGGAAATGAACGCTTTTCCACCCTCAGGACAGGGGTGGGAAGGGAGCCCCGCCGCCGCTCCCTGCCCGCGGCGCCTCCCCCGACCCCCCACGGCGTCCAGGTGCGGAGCCCAGAGCGCGGTGCCGCCGCACAACGTCTCCATCCGCCCCCTCACCGCCCTCACCAGACAGTGCTCCGCCCGCGTCAGAAACGCTGGGGCCGCAGCAGCCCCGTTCTAGCGGCCGCAGGTCACCTCAGGAGCGTGTGCAGTGCACGGAAGGGCATCGCCGGGGGTGGATGGGGCGGGCGTTGTGGGGTCCGCGGACCAGGGCGGCAAGGTCCTCGCGGGAAGGGCGCCGTGGGTGAGCCTGAGGGGAGGAAGGAGCGCCAAGGCAGCCAGGAAGAACCCTGGCGGGGGCGCCGCGGGGAAGCGAAGCGCGCGGGGCCCCTGGGCTGCGACCCGGAGGAGGCGGGTCCGGTCTTCCGCCCTCTGGCTGCAGAGCCGGGACCGCCCAGGGTAGAGGCGACTTGGGCCCAGGCGGCGGCAGCAACGCAGAGAAGAGCAGAGTTCGAGGAGGCTCAAGGCTGTGGAACCGACGGAGAGACAGAGGTTGCTCCCGAGGCTCCCGGGTGGGGCTGGAGAGGCCGGCGGGAGGGGCGCCCTGCACGGAGCTGGGGCGCCGGGAGTGGACACCGTCCTAAAATCAATGATGCGGGCCACAGCCAGTTATTTAAAAATCATGATAATAATAAGCAGAACGCTTTTCTCAGCGGCAGGAAGCATCCTCCGCTGCGGCGGGCAAGAGGCGCTGGCTCTCTTCCGCAAGTGCCTCCTCAGACCGGCCCTCCCACCCGCTTCTTCCCTGCCACCGCCTGGGCCCAGCTCCCCGGTCTCATTCTCCGTTCCTGGGGCATCTAGCTTGAAGGGTTCCTTGTGGCCAGGACCCCCAAGATCCCAGCGCCAAGTCCTTCACTCCTCTCTGCCTCTTCCACAGGCAGGGCCTGGGCAGAGCAGGGCAGCCCTGTCCAGCCGCATTTCCTGGGACCAAAGGGATGGAGTCAAGGAAGGAAGGATCACAGATCTTGGGGCTTGGGGTGGCTTCCTGGGAGACCTTTGATCTGCTTGTCAGTCCCTCCCTCCCTTGCGTTCCCTTTTCCTCTCTTCCCTCCCTCTCCCCCCTTCCTTCCTCTCTCCTTCCCTCCCCTCTCCCTTCTGTCTTCCTTCCTTCCTTTCTTCCTTCCCTTCTCTTTCTTTCTTTTCAACACATTGAACCCTTGTGATGTGCCCAGCATTGTCTGGGCCCTGGGAATATCATGATAAACGAGGCTGTTCTTTGCTCCTAAGTTGCCTAGACCAGGTAGTACAGACAGAAAAGCAAAAAGGTCTCTTCCCTGAAAGCTTTTAAAAAATTCTGATGCTGGTCCCAGCAACAGAGATTCAGATCTTTGCTCTAGGCGGGCCTGGAAATCGCTGTGTTTGAAAAGCTCCCTAGGTGACTCCCGGGTGCAGCTTTGGCTGTGAGCCCCTGCTGGAGGGGCAGTGCCCTGCCATGGAGGGCCTGGAGCTGGGAGCCTACCCAGGGTTCTTGAGTCTGGGCTGTATTCCCTTCCCACCGGGTAGCATTGGCCACGTCTCTTTAACTCTCTGTGGCTTGGTTCCCTCATTTGTAAAACAGGCAGAGTGATATCTTAGGCAGCTGGAAGAATTCCGTGAGCTGACAGCGCACGGCGGCGCTCAGCAAGCCCTGTCTGTTGTTATCAAGCACTTATGCAGCATATAGGAAAGGCACCTCACCTTTTCTGCAGAAAGGATGGGCAGAAGGGTGGGGAGTTAGCTGGGCAAAGGGGTTGGGGAGATGAGGGAATGGGAGAATAGGATTTGTGGGTTGAGGGAGCTAGAGGAGGTGGCCGGCTCTTCCCGATTAAGAGTGGCTCGTGCCAAGGCTGGGAGGCAGAGCTGGATACAACTGGTGGACCAGTGGCGAGGCGTGGAGGGGGCGGGGAGGCTGGGGAGGCCCACCAGAGTGTGGCTGAAAGCTCTTTGAGGACTAGAGGTGGGGAGGGGAGGGACAGCTGTGCTGTGACAGCCTCTCCTGCTCCAGCCCTGCAGCTGGTGAGCAGTGAGAGGAACTTCGTTCTGGTGAAGGAGGAGCTGAGCTGGTCCGACGCCCAGCAGCACTGCCGGCTGCACCACACAGACCTCGCTGACCTGCAGCTAAGTGACGTGATGGAGCTCTCCTTCCTCATGACCAGCACCCCAGCTTGGATTGGCCTCTTTTTTGACGCAAGCACTTCTGGCCTGAGATGGTCCAGCGGCTCCTCCTTCACAGCCCTGGAGTGGGCCCTGCAGCTGCCCGAATTCGGGGTGGGCCTCTGTGCCACGCTGTACACTCGGCTGAAATTACTCAACATCGGGGCTGCCTTCTGCACAGCCCAGAAGCCCTTCCTCTGCTACTATGGTGTGTTCACATTCACATTTCAGGCTTCGCTTCCCCCCGCCAGGCGCCTCGCTCTGTTAGCAGCTCAGGCTGGAGTGCAGTGGTGTGATCATAGCTCACTGTAACCCCCAATTCCTGGGCTCAAGTGAGTCTCCTGCTCAGCCGCCTGAGCAGCTGGCACTACAGATGTATGCCAACACACCTGGCTAATTAAAAAAAAAAAAAGCCAGGCATGGTGGCTCACGCCTATAATCCCAGCACTTTGGGAGGCTGAGGTGGGTAGATCACTTGATATCAGGAGTTCAAGACCAGCCTGGCCAACATAGTGAAAACCCGTCTCTAAAAAAGACACAAAAAATTAGCTGGGTTTGGTGGTGGGCACCTGTAATCCTAGCTACTAGGGAGGCCAAGGCAGGAGAATTGCATCCAGGAGGCGAAGGTTGCAGTGAGCCGAGATCGTGCCATTGTACTCCAGTCTGGGCAACGAGAGCAAAACTTCGTCTTAAAAACAAACACCTTTAATAGAGACAGGGTCTTGCTATGTTGCCCAGCCTGGTCTCAAATTCTTGTCTTCAAGTGATCCTCCTGCCTCAAGTCTCCCAAAGTGTTGGGATTACAGGCATGAGTCATTGGGCCTGGCCAGGGTGGCTTGTTGCTTTTCAACAGCAAATGAGGGGGTGGGGGGTGGGGTGGAGAGAGATCCACCGTTTCAGAGGAAAACTGGTCATGACTTTACTCTTTGCCACATCGCTTGCTCTCTGTGGCCTTCATTTCTATTTCCTCTGCATCCCTATTCTGAAGACCCCATTAGAAAAAAATGGGTGCAACTCAGGATAGGGTAAAAATAAAATCTGGAAAGTTCTTCTCTTGCCAGTTAAGGATTTGGGGGAAGGAGAAAAAGGGAGCCAAAAGGGAAATTCAGGCTGGGGTTTGGGGGATGCATGTGTACCTGTGCAGAAGCGAGAGCAGAATTCAGTCTCCTTCTCATGAAGCACAGGTGGATGGTTAGGGTCTCCGCTGGGCAGGAGGGGAGCGGCCGCCCTCTAGGAGATCCCCTGCTTCCTGTTAAGTGGGCAGTGTGAGCCAACCCCTCAGGCATCTTTTCAGGAAATCCGCCATTGGTACGCCATGCACAAGGCCCCCTCCTTGTGCTTCACCGGGCCCCTCTCTGTCCTGGCTGCCAGTGCGCCTGACTCCCGACTTGTTGCTTCTGGGAAGATCATGCAGGAGCTGGCTGTAGCGTGCACAGCGCTTTCCCGGTAAGAGTGTCACTGCCTGCTTTTCCCTCTGTTGGCCAAACTCAGTCCAGCTCTGTGCCACCTTCACCTCTCAAATACAGTTATGCAGGGCTGACCTCATGTGTGCCCAACATGGCCACATGGTGCCTGCCCCGGGACCTTGAGAATAGCAGGTGTAGCTGCCTAGATTTCAATGCTGGGTTCCCAAGGGAGTAAGGAGATTACAGGGGTGGTAAGTGTGCCTGGGACCAGGAGGCCTGCGAAGCGAGGGGTATGTATATGGGGTTGTCCTCTGCCCCCTACACTGTTCCCACACTCCACCAACATGGGTCCTGACCCCTCACGCACTTCAGCTCTGCACCTCTGCTGCCAGCACAGGAGCCAAGTCAGCGCTGTCTCTCCTCTGGTCTGCCCTTGCCCACTAAAGTCTGTTCTCTACACAGAATGAGCTTGTAAAAAGGCAAATCAGAACACTTCCCTGTAAAGAAGAGAATCAGTGGCCCTGGCAGCACTCAGAGCCCTGTCCTTCAGCCATCAGGCCTCGCCTCACCTCTTTGGCCTCCTCTCCTTCTCCTGTCCCAGCCACATGACTTCCTTTGGCTCCTTCCCACCGCAGGACCTTTGCTGCGGGCTGCAAATTAGGACAAAATGTACATCATTGAAAGTAGAATTATATCTTGCATGTATACAGAGCTTTAGAGTTTGTTGTGGCTCTGCTCGGGAGGCTCCTCTCAGCTCTCTGTAAGACTCGCTCCTTCTCATAGTCACCTCAAGAGCAAAGACTCTGCTTCTCTTATTTCCGCGCCATTTTCCTAGGGCTTAGAATAAGGTTGGCAACACAATAGGTGTCCAGTATTTATTGAATGGATTGAATCGATGTAGAAATGGATGGACGAGCCTGTCTGCTCCTGAGCTCGGTCATCCTGGCTGTAACTGGGCAGCTCCTGGTACCCGCAGAGGATCCTGGGCGTCCCTGTAACTCATGGTCTGTTTCTGTTTTACAGACCCTGATGTTGGGCACCTCATCTCCACGAAGCCCTCTCTCAGCCTAACCACCTCTCCAAAGCTAGGTACATAGCTGCCCCCAATCCCTTTTCTTGGAATTCGGCTTGTTTTGCCTTGGACCTCTCCACCAGGATCAGCAGGCAGAATCTCCACCCCCAGGTTCCCTTGTTCCCCTGACTCCTGCCTGGCTGTCTGGGAGGGATTTCCAGGCTTTGCAGCCCCCTGGCTGAACCCCATGGAGAGAATCAATGTTCTTTATTTTTATTTTTTATTTATTTTTGAGATGGAGTCTCGCTCTCTCACCCAGACTGGAGTGCAATGGCATGGTCTTGCCTCACTACAACCTCCACCTCCCCGGTTCAAGCAATTCTCCTGCCTCAGCCTCCTGAGTAGCTGAGATTACAGGCGCTCGCCACCACACTTGGCTAATTTTTGTATTTTTAGTAGAGACAGGGTTTCACCATGTTGGCCAAGCTGGTCTCAAACTCCTAACCTCAGGTGATCCACCCGCCTTAGCCTCCCAAAGTGCTGGGATTACAGGCGTGAGCCACTGCAGCTGGCCTATTTTTTATTTTTATTTTTTAAGACGTGATGGCTTCCCTCTGTCTCCCAGGCTGGAGTGCAGTGGTATACTCACAGCTCACTCAACCTTCCTGGCGGGTGATCCTCCTGCCTCAGCCTCCTGAGTAGCTGGGACTACAGGCATATGCCACTATGCCCAGCTAATTTTTTTTGTATTTTTAGTAGAGATGGGGCTTTGCTATGTTGCTTAGGCTAGTCTTGAACTCCTGGGCTCTAGCAATCCACCTGCCTTGGCCTCCCAAAGTGCTGGGATTACAGGTGTGATCCACTGATCTGACCAATGTCTTTATTTTTCTGATGGGCCCAGAGGGGATGGTGACTGGTTCCAGGTCTCCAATCAGAGACTGGAAGCAGAGAGTGGGCCCTGGCTGCAGCCCAGCTCTCACTCTGGGGTTGGGACAGGGTGGTTCCTCTTCACAGCCCAAGTACCTGCTCATTCATCTGGGGGTGGGGGTGGCTTCTCTGAAATAGAGCTCTCTGGCATTACTGCCTTGGTATCTTTTGCAAAGTTTCTTCCTATCTGATAGAGAGAAGTTCTATGACAGAGGCAATCTACTCCCTGAGTCTGGTCTGTGGAGTGGGTTTTCTGCATGGTGTGGAGCACAGAGCTGTAGAGTGAAGATGGCGGGGCTTCCCATATTTGAATCTCTAGCATGGCACGAGTTCGGGCAGGTCGTCACCTCCCTGAGCTTCCTTTTCCTCATCTGTGAACTGAGGTTAATGACACCACCTTCTCAGGATGATAGTGGGAGTTTTCAAAGATGGCACAGGCCACATGCATAGCTCAAGGGCTGGCACATACTAGGGGTTTAATCAAGAGTAACTTTAAAAAACCAGTTTAGACAGGGAAAATGATAGGTAAATCGGAGGCAAATCTCAATGGGCTTAGGTAAAAGGCCCATGTCCGAGTTTGGGAGGCTCCATTTGAATTTGAGCATGTGACTCCCAACTTGGTAAACACAAGTGTTTTCTCTTCCGGGCAGCCCCCCCGGAATCAATGCCTTAGGTCGAGTCCCAGCCGCTTACATCGTTCCAAACTTGCATTGTCTGGAAGCTCAGATGTGCAGGTGTATGTGCTACAACATGGGACGTGCTGGATGAAGGGCAGGGTAGACTGAGCCTGCCCTACCTCAGGACCTGGCCCAGCCCAGCCTCGGGCAGGGACTGGCAGTGGTGGCTGTGGGAGGTCGGCATCTCAGTCTGTCTGAGCTCCCTGGAAGGCTAGGCCACTGAGCCTCCTCTGCCTCCTGTCCACCAGGCCCATCCCTCCAGGCTGGCCTCTTCTCCCTGGCTCTCCAGGCACGGTGAGCCTGGGAACATCACACACTTCCTCTATTCTGCTCAGCCCTGGATTCGCCTGAGAGCCAGTGGGGCAGGCGCAGCCCCTAGAAAACACACTCGAAGGTGACCCCAAACCAAGATTGTTCTGTCTGCCTCATAACCCCCCCCCCACAAATGGTCACTACCATCTTGCTATTTGCATACTATTAATAAATCACTGTGCTAAACCATTTGCATATGTGACCTCATGCGGTCCTGATCTTAGGTACTGATTACCCCATTGTACAGATGAAGAAATTAGGACTTAAACCGAACCTGTGAGGCCATATAGCTACAATAACTCTTAACCCTGCTTTCCCTAATGCTTCCCCCACCTGCTGCTATGACAACTCACCCATTCTTCCAACCTAGTATTTAGTCTACCTATAAAATTGTGGTTTTGAACAAACCTAACACTCAAGGACTGGGGACAAGGGTCCACCCATATCAGACCAGAATTCTATCCCCGGGGGTGATGGAGGCTGGGCTGTCAGAGATCCAGGCCCTCAGGCCTGTGATGTCCACATTCTTTGACCCCAGCTGTGGTCCAGATCGGTGGTCAGACCTTCATGAGATTTGACCAAGTGATGACATGGTACTCGGCCCTGCTGTACTGCCGCAGCCACCACACAGACCTGGCCGACCTGCAGATGGTGACGGACAAGACAGGCAAGGAGGCCTTGAGATCCCTCATGAGTGAGACTGAAGCCTGGATTGGCCTCTACCTCAATGCGAACTCTGGATCTCTGAGCTGGTCCAGTGAGCTGGGGGCCAGCATCCCCTCCTGGCTGCAGGTGCCGATGATGGTGAGAGGACTGTGCGCAGCTCTCGGCATCTACGTGACCTACTCACTGCAGGTGTACACAGTGAACTGCTCTTCCCTGCTGCCCTTCATCTGCTTCTACGGTGAGTCACAGTCTGCTCTTGCTGACACTGGGCCCACTGAGGATACATTGAGGTGGGAAATGGGTTTATTGGGCAGCAGGTGACATTGAGGATACACCCAAGGAAGCACTGCTAGACTCTGAGGGTAACCGAGTTCTGGAGCAGGCTCCTGAGATCCTTGCAATATAAATGTGTGAGGAGGTTGTATTATTTTAATCCTGGAGATCTTTACATAATGGAACGGACTCATCCAGCCTTAGGGCACTGGCAATTAGCAGGAGTGATTCGTTATTGGACAAGGAAGTTAAGAGTCTGGGCTTTGGAATCAGACAGACTTTACCGCTTGCTAGAAATAAGGTGGGCAGCTTCTCAGAGCCTCCTTCTCCTCCTCTGGGAAATACAATGAACAAAATGAACTGATGGCACCCACCTCATAGGATGGCTTTGAGGGCTGAGTGAGAAAGTGAATCTAAGGGGCCGAGTAGAAACCCTGGCACAGAGGGGACCCCCAGCCAGATGGGAGCCATGGTTGTTTTTCTGTCCCTGTGAATGCATGGGAGCCCAAGTCCTGCCTGGTGGCCCTGTTGACAGAGGAAACAACCCCCAGGCCAGGCAGACGTGCTCTGAGCCTGTCCGTGGTTGTGTGATAGCTATCCTCCTGCCTTGCCTGTTGCTTCTCTCCTTCCTTGCTTCCTCCTCCTCTCCATTTTTTTGGTAACTTTTATTGAGATGTAACTCCCATCTTAAAATTTACCTTTTTATTTTTTATTAAATTAATTAATTAATTAATTTTTGAGACAGAGTCTCGCCTTGTCACTCAGGCTGAAGTACAGTGGAACTATCTCGGCTCACTGCAACCTCCACCTCCCGGGTTCAAGTGATTCTCCTGCTTCAGCCTCCCACGTAGCTAAGATTACAGGCGCATGCCACCATGTTGGCTAGTTTTTGTATTTTTAGCAGAGATAGGGTTTCACCATGTTGGCCAGGCTGATATTGAACTCCTGACCTCAAGTAGTCCATCCACCTTTGCCTCCCAAGGTGCTGGGATTACAGGTGTGAGCCACTGTGCCCAGCCAGTTTACCTTTTTAAAGGGTATACTGCAGTGGCTTTTGGTATATTCACGAGGTTGTCCAAACATCGTCACTAACCTAATTTTAGGACATTTTCATCACCCTCCACCCCAAAGGAACCCCTTACTGGGCAGCAGTCACTCCCTTCCCTCCCTGGCAACCACAAACCTACTTTCTGTTTCTGTGGATCTGCTTGTTCTTGGCTGTTTCTTTCTGTTTTGGATTTGATGAGACGCATGATCCTTATCCATAAAAAAGCTCCTCCTCCCTGAGTGCTGCTTGCTGTGACGACTGGGGACGGCGAATGTGCCTCCTGCAGGGCACACGGTAGATGTGCAGCAACTGTGCCCTCCTGAGTCTGGGGCTACCGTGATGGGGAACCGAATGCTGGGCGTCGGAGCCTGGGGTGGCCACTCACCTGCTGGGTGTTGCAGGCCGTGCCCTCACACTCTCTCTGTTTCCTTGCAGACCCCTCGGTTGGACACCGGGCTTCAGCAGAGTTGCCTCCACTCTTCCACGCTTCCTCTGCAGAAGTGACAGAGGAAACAACTCCCAGGCCAGGCAGAGGTGCTTTGAGCCTGTCGTTGGCTGGATCTGGGGTATTCAGAGTCTGGGGAAGTGGCAAGGGTGGCTAGCAGGCAGGGGTCCAGGGGAGGTCCCATAGGCCCCTCCTAGAAGTGCCAGTGAATGCCTAGAAAAGGGGTGAGCTAAGTGGGTGGCAGTCAAGGGCCACTTATGCAGAGGGGAGTTTCCCTCTGCTCCCAACCCTGCTGGGCCGGCCAGGGGCTGGGGAAGGAGGACTGAGGCACCCTCAAACTCCATTTTCCTAGAATTGGGCCCCTGGACTTGCAGCTCCGGGGCCAGGAGACCCAGGAGAGGCTGTCCAGTCTCTCAGGCAAGAGGGTGAGGCCCTGGCCTGGGAGACAGAGTGGGAAGACCGCTGAGCAGTGCTCTTGGGGAAAAATCATCAGAGAGGCCCTGAGGCTCAGTAATCAGAGGGAAACACTGCAGAGGGGCTTCCCAAAGTCCCTCCGAATTGCAGGTTCCTCTGCAGGGAGAGGATGAGGGATGAGCTATTGGCATTATTGTGGGGAGGTGGCTGGGAAGGGCAGTGACAGCAATCCTACAGCATTTAAGAATTCCTGAAACATCTTCACAGCTATTGCCTCATTTTACTTCCCAAGAGTTCTGAGGCTAACTAGAGTAATTGAGGGCAAAATCACCTTTTTCCTGGCCTCCTTACAGATTCCTGTATCACACAAAGGGATTATTGCCTTTTTTGAGGACACAGAAAAGTGAGGGCACTTGATCAAGGTAGAGCAGAGCCTCCTTCATTCACTCATTAGAAAGTGTGGAGGGAGTCTTGTGCTAGCCCCGGCACAGCCACCGGACACCGCGGAAAGGGAGGGCTTGTTCTGAAGGCGCTCACAGCAGGCTGGGAAGAGGCTGGTGCTTGGTATAGTCACAGGCATGGTGGGGACACTGAGAAGGGGAGCATCCCCTCTCTAATTGTCCACAGGATTTCCCAGAGGAGGTGACTTTACAACTACTGGAAGAATGAGGAGTATCTAGCTTGCAAAGTGGAGTGGGGTGCGTGGCTGGGTGAGGACTGCAGGTGGAAGGAGCTGCAGGTGGGGTGGGGACAGTTCGCACTGGAGAGTGTGGGATCCCAGATCCTGCGGGTCCTCTGTGAGTCGCTAAGGGACCTCACCCTGAAGGCGACAGCGCCCAGGCGGGTAGCCGTGGTCAGATTCGGGTCAGAGCTGGGCGACAGCCTGTCTTCTTCTCATCTAAGGTCTATCCTGACACCTGCCTGGCTGCCCCAGGCTCACGGGCCACCTGGGCCGCGCTATCGGGTTCAGGAGGCCCCCCTTGCTAGCCCCTGTCTGCAGTGGGTGGGCAAGCCCAGGCGTGGAGGGGGCACAGGCCCGGGGAGCCACTGCGCGACGCCACTCTTCGGCGTCCTCGGCTTTGGGAGGGGTCCCGGGCGCAGCGGACCCCACAGAAGTCTTCTCTCCAGCCCCAGGGACCAGCGCCGGACCGGTGGGCGCTTCTCAGGGCCCGGCTTCAGCGGCCCGGCTTACGCAGAGCGGGAGCCCGGAGCCCCGCGAACCCGGCCTCCGCTACCCCTACCCGAGCGCTTCCGCCTCCGCTGGCCCGGCGACCCTCCAACCCCAAGGGGCGGTGACACCCGGCCCTCCGGCCAAACTTACCGCGGTTCCGGGGGAAGGACCCAGGATGCCTCGGGTCAGTGCCCAGGGCGCGTCTTCCTACCCTGCGCACTCCGCGTCCCAGCCCCCGAACCCTGCCGGTCCCGCCTCTAGGGGGAGCCTCTCTGTTCCCCAGGAAGTGACTGCGGTTCTTCTGGCCTCCGCTTCGAGCCCCCAGCTCAACTCCACCCGCCGTGCCCCAGCTACTCCCAGGACAGCAGCACCCACTGGGTCCTCCACATCCAGCCGGGGCCTCGGCTCCCAAGCTCCCGAGAGCTCTCTGGGGACCAAAGAAAGCATCTCGGACTCATTTGTCTCAGGGAGCCCAGCCGTGCCCCAGAGGACAACTGCGCCCCCTGACTCTGCAGCCCTGAGCCAAAACACCCGCCCAGAGGCAGCTGGGAGCTGGGCAGGGCTCCAAACAGGTGCCTGTCTGCGTCGCTCTAAGTTAGGACCTCTACCTGAGGCAGGCCCCAGCACCCTGGGGAGTTCCTTTCTTGGGGCGACCAGGCCTGGCTTCCATGGGTAGGGCGCAGGCCAGGGAGTTGAGGATGAGAGGTGGGGTGTGGTGTGGGGATGGTGTGTACTGGGCCAGTCTCCCCACCCCAGCTGCATTCCAGCGCATTCTACAGGGGTCCTGTCTGGCCAGAGCCAGCTCAGTCTCGTCGTCCCTGGGTAATTTAGGATGGATGGAGATGTAGGCGAAGTGGGGTGATCTGGGGGAGAAATAATCCATTTTGGTTCTAAGAGCAAGTGTCTGACAGTCGAGGGTTGGAATATTGGCTCCAATACCTACTGTGTGGCATTATGCAAGTTTCCTAACTTCTCTGAGCCTTAGTTTTCTCATCTCTCAATGCCTGGCATCTGGCAGACACTTGATAAATGGTAGTTATTACCATTTTAATCTCAATTCTCTAGTGAAACGTTTAGTGACTCATCCTTCTCTCACGTCTCTCCTTACCTGAATAGATGGAGCTGGCCTCATTCTCACTTTATTAAATATAAATGACTACAATTATGAATTATTGAGACTGCAGAATCTCACAGGGCAGAGGCTGTTCTGTACTTCTTTGTCTCTCTCCAAGGACTGGGATAGTGCACACTGGTAGATAATTTAATTTGACAATCATTTCCTGAGTACCTGTTTTGAAGAAGGCATTGAACTGTGGATGCCAAGATGAGCAGGGCTGTTTCCTGTTTTTAGAAGCACATGGTCTCACAGGGACTAATGGAGACAGCCAGGACAGTTGGAAGGTGCTGCACGGAAGTGTGAACCAAGAGCTGTGGCAGGAAAGCGATTCATTTCATTCCGCCTGGAAGGTGGCAATAGCATAGAAGGTGTAACAATGGAGGACTGCATCTGGCAGAAAAGACTAGGAAGTTCTTCCTGGCAGAAGGAACAGCATAGGTAAAGACAGATGTCAAACTGTATGGTTTGTTTGCGAATGAGAAGCAGTTTGATGTGACTGGCGTGGACCATGTACTGGGGAAGGGAGTGGCAGGGGGTGAGGAGAAAGGGGTACACTGGGGGCAAAATCTGAAGGACTTGATTCCCCCCCAGTGGAGCCAGCAGAGGTTTACCCAGGTGAGCAGAATGCTCAGATCTGTAGTTTCCAGAAGCAAGGTGGTTAGGATGACGTAGACAGTGCTTGTATTAGGATGTTAAGTGAAAATGGCACTATCAATGCTTTGTACACAATACAGTCACAACAGGTTGAAAGGAAATATCAAACAATGCATAGGAATCAAGTCTGGAAGGAGATGTGTGACAATGTTAACAGTGACTACATTCAGGGGATGAGAATATGGATGTTTCCTCCTCTTCTGTGTTTCGGAATTTTACACATTTATCCACTTCATTAAATAAGTTTACAATGCTTTGGGTGGGGAAAGAGGCCTTTGGAGGGGTGGCCAATCAGGAAAGGAGAGACAGGAAACGTGTGTGGGGAAAGAATGTTGCACAGCGTGGGTGAGTGGAACTGAGGCCTGTTCTGGAGCACTGGAGTGGGGAGCGACATGAGGGAATTGATTTTACATTGTTCACAGGTGACGTTAACTGAAATACCAATACAAATACATTTTTAAAAATGCCCAGCTTTTGTTCATTGAACCACACAAATGCAAAGTTTAAAAAATGCTTACTCGGCCTGGGGCAGTGGCTCACATCCATAATCCCAGCACTTTGGGAGGCCAAGGTGGGCAGATCATGAGGTCAGAAGTTCGAGACCAGCCTGGCCAATATGGTGAAACCCCGTCTCTACTAAAAATACAAAAACTAGTCGGGTGTCGTGGCGCATGCATGTAGTCCCAGCTACTGGGGAGGCTGAGGCAGAAGAATCGCTTGAACCTGGGAGGCGGAGGTTGCAGTGAGCTGAGATCGAGCCACTGCTCTCCAGCCTGGGTGACAGAGAGAACTCCATCTCACACACAAAAAAGATGCTAACTTTTTTTTTTGCTTTTAGAGACAAGGTGTCACTCTGTGGCCCAGGCTGGAGAGCAGTGGTATGATCATAGCTCACTGCAGCCTTGAACTCCTGGGTTCAAGCAATCCTTCCACCTCAGCCTCCCAAGTAGCTAGAACTGCATGCAGACACCACCACACCTGACTAATTAATTTTTTTTTTAAGATGGGATCTCGTTATATTGCACAGCTGGCCTTGAACTCCTGGCCTCAAGCAATCCTCCTGCTTCACCCTCCCAGTGTTGGCATTACAGCTGTAAGCCATCACACCTAGCCAAAAGATGTAGTTTTAAAACTTATTTTTGTACTTACTAGTGTGGCAAAGATTTGAATGGGGGATCATGCTGGGAATATGGGAAAAACAGTGATCTCGGACACAGTAGGTGTGTCAACTGGGGCTACTACTCTGGTATCAGAATTTGTGTCAGTTTTAACATGTGCAAACTCTTTCGTACAGGAATTCTACCCTTGGGAATTAAGGAAATAATAATATGAGGTACACACATAGATATGCACCCTCCACACACAGGGTTGTTTGTTGCAGCATTATTTATTACAGTGAAAAGCTGGAAACAACGTAATATCTACTGGAAGCAGATTGGTTAAGGTATATTCAGTGAAATATTACTATGCAGCCTTTAAAGCGAGCAAGGGAGATCTTTACACATTCAAATTCACAAATTCAAGAGTGTGAAGGACCTTCTACAGCAAAGTGTTAATCATGGGTGTCCCTGGGTTGGAGAGGGGATATATTTGCTTAAATATTTTATGATATACTCTAAATAAAAGCATTATTTCCATATTTGAAAAAATAACAAGACATCTGCAAGGCACTGACAGGACTTTGGTGAGTGAACATGAGAACAGGTGAGACGGGAGCAAGGGAGCCACTGAGGACACCAGGGTCTCTGGCTGGAGCACCTCTGGGCATGGCCAGTCATAGAAGGGAAGAGGGAGTGCTGGGGGAGAGGCTGAACTTGTTTTGGGATGGAGATGGAGACGTTGAGTGTCCCTGGGTGCCACGGTGGGGGCTTTCTGTAGTTGGCAGACAAAATAAGGACATTGGGCCCCTGGGAGCATAGGCTACTGAACAAAGAAATTTTGATGAGGAAAAACCTCCTGATATTGCCCAGGCCCCACAGATCCTTCTGCCAGGGGTGCCTTCTGAAAGATGATGGTGTAGCTACTCAAGAGCTGGGTCCAAGAGCCTTTGGGGGTGAGTCAGGGATCGGCAGGCACCAAGCGTCCCACCTTGCTGTTTACGCAGCAGCTAGCAGCGGTTGTCCCTGCCTGTCCTTTAGCTTAGGGGCAGTCACTAGCATCAGGCCACCTTACTCCTGGTTGTATTTGCAATAAATCTTTTATTTTCGCCTCCTGTAGCTGTGACCAGTGTAGGGAGTGGCACTGACAGAAGAGATACAGCTGCTGCCACGGAGGCCCAACATTTGAGTTCAGAATCTAAAGACAAAACATCAACACCAAAATCAGGTAAATGCTTCTGTCTACCAAGTTCCCACTCTTACCAGTGGAGCAGCTGAATCTGGACAGTCACTTCTTAGCACAGGGCCCTTGAGACCTTTTCATGGAAGATGGCACAAAATGTTGGGAACAGGGATAGGAATAAAGAGGTGGATTCTGGTTTATGCTCTGTGACTATTATGAAAATTTACAGAAGTTTCTGAATTTCTGTTTCTCTTCTGCAAAGGGGATGATGTAGTGAAAACTCCCCTGCCTATATCATAGGTTGTTGTGAGCACCTGAGGTGATTATAAACTTCATGAACAATCAAATGAAATGCAAATGTACATGAGATTGTAACTCCTGTGATGATTATGGGTGGCTGATGCGCAAAGGCTAATTATTTAAAGGGCCAGAGAACTTTTAAGAGTTTTCTGTGGTGGGGACCCAAAGAGAGGCATTTCCAGCACGGTGTGGAGTATCTACTTACTGGATTAAAAGTAAGGAGAAAAATGCAGAAGAAACAATAAAGAAAATAATTGCCTGATGGGTAGCCAGGCTGTGGAAGAGCCCGCATTATCCCAAAGTGTGGGACTCTTTTTCAGCCACTAATTGGTTGGTCCTAATTATGGCTGAGCATTCTTCTGCTCAGCAGTTTCTTTCTTCTTTCTTCTTGAAATCCCAAATCAGCATGTAGCATCTATGCTGTCCACCGGGTGCTCCTGACTGCCTAGAACTTGAAGTTTTCAAAAGGAAATAGGATAATATCCTCCTGAACAGGTAGCATTTCTTTTTCAGGGCACCCTTTTGGAATCCTGAAAGCAGATTTTACCATCTCAGCTCTGGTGGACCCAGAAGAAATGAAAGACCAATTTTTGAGACAGGTGAGACTTCTACCTACTCTCTTAATTCTGATCAGTCAGATGACTTGACATTGCAGTCTTAAAAAAGCCAATATATTAATGTGGAAAACCTACGGAATAAGACCTCATCTTGTTCCACCGCCATCACTTTGGCTCATGGTGACAAGTTGGTTATGTGCTAGGATCTTTTCTTATCCTCTCCAACGTTTTTCCCAAGCTTTTTTTTTTTTTTTTTTTTTTTTAAGGTGTGACTAAGGAGTTTCCTGTCAACTTTATTCTGCCCATAATCTTCATTTCTTAATTAAACGAAGAAAGAAAAGCTGGAGGGAAAAGTTTTGAAAGAGAAAAAGATTGGTTTCTATAATAATTTTAAAGAATTTTTACTGCAATGAAAATTCTTTCAGGGTTTAATTTAAATTTGTTTATGAAGAAAAAAATGAATGGGTATAGTACATACATTTCCATGGTAACAGAAGTGCTAAATACAGTATTAAAATGGCCAGATATTTATATAGGATTTACATTCCAAGAAAAAGAAAAAAGTGAAGCGGAAACAAGATTGAATAGATTTAGTGGCTGGGTACAATGGCTGATGCTTGTAATCCAAACACTTTGGGAATTTGAAGTCGGAAGATCCCTTGAGGCTGAGTTCAAGACCAGCCTGGGCAACAGGGAGACCCTATCTCTACAAAAATAAAAAATTAGCTGGGGATGGTGGTTCATGCCTGTAGTCACAGCTACTCGGGAGGCTGAGGTGGGAGGCTCACTTGGGCCCAGGAGTTGGAGGTTGCAGTGAGCTATGATGGTGCCTGCACTCCAGCCTGGGCAACAGAGTGGAACCCTGTCTCAAAAAACAAAAAGAGATTTAAAGGGGTATAAAGGATTGAGGAGATACTGGTCAAAGGATACAAAATTTTAGGAAGAATAAGTTCAAGAGATGTACATTATGGTGATTATAGTTTAAAACAATATATACTTGAAAATTGCTAAGAGAGTAGAGTTTTAGTGTTCTTACCACAAAAAATGATATGCGTTAATATACATGTTAAATAGCTTGATTTAGCCATTCCACCATGTTTACATATATGAAAACATGTTGTATACCATAAATATATATAATTTTTATTAGTCAATTTAAGTAAGTAAATAGATAATAAAAATTTAAGAAAGAGACTTAAGAGAATGGTGGTTACATGGGCCAGTTGACTTGTGAAAATTCATTAGTCTGAACACTTGTCATCAAACTATATAATTTATGCATTTTTCTGTATGAATATTTTACTTCAATTGAAAGTTTATTTAAAAAAGACGTAAGAGACAGATCAAGCCATTGCAATGTATGGATCTTGATTCTAATAAAAAGAGGCATTCTATAAAACCCTTTTTGCAGTTAGGAAATCTAAGTAGGATATTTGATGACATGAAAGAGTTATTAATGTTTTAAGAATAATAGTGGCGTGTATATATTTTTTAGTCCTTTTATTTTAGAAATACAGGGCAGTACTTAGTGGGTGTCATGAAATGATATCTTTAATACAGTAGGGTGGATGTACTATCTAATGGGTATATATAATAGATGAAATAAAGTTGGTCACACTTGGACACTTGCAACTGGCTGATGGCTACATGGGTTTTCATTATATATATATTTTTTACTTTTGTATATGTTTGAAATTTTCTGCAATGCAGTTAAAATATTTACACAAACACATATATACACATATATAAAGTTAAATTGTCACTTTGCCATTTCCCACCCTAATCATTTTTCACCAATTATTCCCGGTATTCTTGACCCAATCACTTGGAGGAGACAGAATCTGTTGGAAAATTTTCATTACTCTGTTTAGACACAGGATGGCACTCTTTGAATAAGTAATTAGCCAAAGTCCACTCCCACTGAGTAAGCTCCTCTACAAGCTGCTACTTTGTAGGGCAGTTTATCTTAGTTGAGGGTAAAATCTTTTAGAGAGCTTATATAGATGTTTACTGCTCATACCTTTATTTTTTGTGTGTGTGCTGGCTGTCCCTATTTACTGCCAGTTCTTGAAAAATTAAGGAAGGTTAAGGTTCAAAACTACTTAAATAGTCATTTGATGCCTACCTTTCTTATTTTTGGTAGGCAATTATTGCTATACAATTATTGCTATATTTTGCTACCTCATGTATTTCATATATGTGCACACACATACATATATGTACACATACATATACATACATACATAATGTGAATCATCTTTATTTAAAACTCTAAATGCCAACTGTTGAACAGATTTCTACATTTTAAATGGCATTTAGCCAAATACTACTGATTAAGGTCAGGATGAGGACTATTGACTCTATAGACAGATGCTTTCCACTTTCAACCCTTGAAGAAGAATTGAAATAACTGTATTCTTGGACGTTCTCAGTCTGATTCATGTCTCCTTTTAGCCAACTATTCATAGATTCACCAGAATTACACCTACTACCTCCGGCGTAGGAAGAAAAAAAAATCAAATGGGCAATAATGTTAGCAGAAGCTTGAAATTTAAGAGCCAATATTCAGAAAGATCATCCTTCCTACCCCCTTCCCTCCGGTCCAATTCTCCTTTGTGGTTCTGGCCATCGGAAATCGACTTGGCATTAACTAAGGACTGGAATTTCAAGGCGTCAATTTTCCCCTGCCCCCAACCTCGGAAACTCTTAAAGGGCTCCCTATTTTACACTCAATAGTAGAGACAGATAAATGATGCAGCAGATTACACCGTTGAAAGGCAACGTTTGTCCTGAGCTATTTTCACATTTTTTCCTATTTCCGATTTATGTGCCAGACTTTGTTTGCTTGCTTAGGACATGGAAAACATATTGGGCATTTTCTCCCCAGTTTAATGCCAGTGGCCTTCTCTCAGCAAATGAAAGTGAAAGTGCTACATTGTAGCGGTATTTTATCCTTTAAGTCTGGACTGGCAGCCGGTTTGTAGTGGGGGAAGGAGGGTGGGATTGGGAAGCTTGAAGAACCAGTTTTGAGGTTTTGTTTGTTTATCTTGAGATCGCAGCAGGGTTCCTGTTTTTTTCCCTTCCTTTTTTTCGGGGGGTTCCGATTTCAGATTTATTTTCATTTGGGCAGTCATTGAAGTTTCATTCAATGTACTGACTTAAAAAAAATACACTGCACTTGTAGCTTTTCCCGGTTGCACTTTAAAACACCATCCAGTCTCACCCTCATCTGGAAATAATGCAAGCTTCTCTCTTCCCCCGCTCCCTCCTCCCCTACTTTTTTTTTTTTTTTCTTTTAAAGCTCCACATAACCTGAAGTCGATAATCAGATGGAATACGTGCTGGTATTAGTCTACTTTAGTTTACTTTCCCTTTTGATGCTAACCTTACTTGAAGTATTTATAAAACACAGGCATTTTGTACACTTGTATTTACTGAGTCTTGAAGTCCGACTGCGCCACGAATCTAAGCTTTGCTATAAGGTTCCTCAGAGGCACTGTTTACGTGCAAGTTTTAACATATTGATAGTGTGAATTTCAAAAATAAAATTACACAGAGAATGACACCGGAGATCTTAACAATGACATTGGTACATCTGAAGTCATTCATCCTTCTCCCTCCCCCTTCCTTTTTCCAAGAAACAACTAATAGCAAACCAGAATAGAATTTCTAAAAGAGGTTAGAGAAGGAGGAGGAAAAGAGGCGGAGTGAGATAGGAGAGAGAGGTTAGAGAGGCCAGGATTTCTCTCATTCACAGTGTGGAAAAGTTGACATTGTCTAAGCCCTTCTGAATGGCTGGTAGTTGGTTACCCCGATTGTACCTCTACCTCCCCTCCCCCTCCACGTGACGACCCAGGACACATGCGCACCCGACGCAGCCCAGGCACATCTGCAGACTGACGTCAGTGTGCTCTGCCTCCGAGGAAAAGCTGCCAAAATTTTCTCCTGCTGCAATTCAAGTTGGCTGGGGGCCGGTAGTGAGATCTAGGGCTACTTCAACAAAACTTTGCTGCCCTTCCTGCTCCTCTTGTCTTCTTTTCTCCTGATACCTTTTGATGCTCTGCACATGTTATTTGCATAGCAAAGGCACTAAGCTGTCCAGGAAGAGAGGGCACCACTTCCACCCCCAATAAGTCTTTTTTCCCATCTTTTCTTTCTTTTTTCCTTTCCTTTTTTGGGGGGTGGGGAGGGAGAGAAAGGGGTTTGCAAAGCCAGCATCTCTGAGTGATAGCTTGGATGTATTGAAGGCATCTCTTATTCTGCCAAATCGGAAAGTCCGTTCTCTAAAGCCCGGGTTAGCTAGACTATAGGGTTTTATTCTGGCTGCAGAGTAACTGGCTGGTGTGGCTTTGCAAAGGGGGGCAAAAAATAAAAAAAATAAAATAAAAAAAAGTTAGAGAGGAGAGGGAGTACGTGAGTCGTCCAGTGCAATCTCTATTGTCTGAAACTTACTTTTTATCAGAATTTGAAGATGAAAACGGTAAGGAAGACTTAACAATATTCAACGAAGCTTTTTTTTTTTTTTAAACCAACAACTTGTGCTTTGCTTGTCTTCCGAATAACGCTTAGAAAACTTTTTTCTGTGTGTGTGGTTTTTTTTTTTTTTTCTTTTTTTTTAAATGGCAATGAGTGAGCTTGACTGAACTCATTTTACAGATAGAAATCTTTTTAACTCCAAACTTGTCGGGGGTTGTAGAATTCTGGGACTTGCAATTATTTTATGATGCAAAAAAATACGTTTATTTTATGAATATACATGTTTTGTAAAGTGGACTTGATTATGATTATTGTAATCTTTTAACTGATCACCAAATAGTAATCTGGAAAGTAATAATGATGTGTGTGTTTTAAATTGATTTCCAGTTTTCTTAAAGAAAAGTCTTCTGCATTCTGTAGTTTCATGTCAGTGTGGTAAGTCTTCAGACAAGTGCATATTTTATGCCTGGGCTCAGAGGGTAGCATTAATGTGCTAGCTGTAGCCCCGATGCTCTAGGATATGTTAAGCTCTTAATAGGCTAATCAAAGAGATGGAAGCGTGTGTTTTTGATTTACTTTTGGCCACTTGGGACGTGCTAGACTCATAACCCTCTGGAGCCTTGTTTATCGGGGTATGTCTGTATATACGGTGTATGGGACCAAAGTTCAGGGATTGAAGAGGGAGAGCAAGAGTGCTGGAGTGGGTATTGGAAAGCCTCTTTTTGATAATATGTGCTACAATTCCTGTCTTTGATACTTTCTTTCCCTGTACTAGAGGAAAAGTGAGCGAGAGATTGAGAAAGCGCACTGAGAGGGAACAAGAGAGTGAGTTTCTTACTCTTGTTTTTATTTGAGCTGCCGGTGCAACGCGTTTGGGCCAGATGCCAACTGTCTGGGTCACACGCGTTTTATCCAAATAGATTTAGCGCTGCTGTCTGGAAATGGGCTGCTGAATGTTAACTTTAGGATCAACTCAACCAGGGCAGCTCAGACTGTTACCCTCTGTCTGGGCGAAGTGGAATGGTGGGGGCTGGGGGAGGTGACGGTGTGCAGAGCAGAGAGAAAAAGGGAAACTGAACCATTGCTTGGAACTTTAAAAAAGACAATTGAGTGTGATTTTCAACATATTCTTTTTATGTTCAGATGTTTTGGACTAATTTTCTTTTCTTTTTTTCTTTCTTTTTTAGTTTATGTTGATTAGACTGAAATGTTCAGATGTGGGAATGACAGTTTTCAGAATTCATGACAGGGAAAGAAATGTAACACTAAATTAGTGTAGTTGAAAGAAATTAAGAAAATTAATTTTTGAGATAATTGCTTTATTGTGTTGCAGCAAAGTGATAGCTGCAACCTGGTTTATGTTAATTTTATGCTTAAACGTGATCATTAGTGTTTTGAATTTTTGAAGAATAGCATTTAGAGGCAAATACGTTGATTTCAAACAGATCAAATTCATTCATTTGTCACAAATGGCTGCAAATGAAATCTGTGTAGTGGTCTTAATATTTTTGTGATGCCCAAAAAGAAAAACTTCTACCTCAAGACCTAAAATATTGTAATACTACTCATGTCTGGTTCCAATACCTGTAAGATTAATTCCTACTCCTGTCTACTCTTGGCACTTCCTCTTTCCTTCCTAGTAACCACTAGTAGTTACTAGGATGGGTCTTGATGCCAAATCTTATCAAGTTTGTGACTTTAGTGAGTGAATGAAGGGAGTTACCATATTAAGAGAGAGTTAACAGCATATTTGGAATATGTGCTGGAGGTAGTGGGGGGAAAAAGTGGGGAAGAGGTGGATAGCTCTCCTGGTTCTGCCAAATAGCATGGTTGATTATCAAGCTAACCTAAAGAGAAAAAAATGTTGTTTCTATTTTTCAGGAAAAGTTATAATACAGATAATGTGTATTTACTTGCTATCTGGAAAAAAGTGTGAGACTACATGTAATTTAGAGCTTGAGTTTTAGAAATCATGGTTTGTATTTTTGCTTTTGGCTAATTTGCGTTCCTTGATAAATATGTTTTGGGTAATGTATGAATTTAGTTTCACCTTTCCATGGAAACCAATCTCACAAAGTTTATAAATGATCTGGAAACCTTTCTACTTAGAGCCTAATTGTGTCCTTAGCATACAGTAGATGATAGTAAGTGTTTGTTGACAGAATAAATGGAAAATGAAATGAGAAGTTAATTTTCATATAAAAATTAAATACCTGAAGGGAGCATGGTATTGTTGCTTCTTCCATGGAGAATAAATTAGCCTTAAATAAATAACCAGAGTTAAGATGGATGAAAGAAGTTGAGAAGAATGTTATACATGTTCTTTAGCTTCATAATAATAGTTCACAAGAGGAAATTATTACCTTGGCTACTTCCAGATCACTTGAATGAAGTAAAGATGATAGAGGAAAAATCCTACAACCAGGGCAGTCTACTGAGGGTGTATCACTGTAGTGCAAGTTGTCTGATCTTTTTTGTTCTTAGGTAGTGTAGCTTTGATCCATGGAAGCAGGTAAATGATCCCTTAACTCTACTGCCTGATGCATTTGTATTAGAGAAAAAAAGCATATGTGAAATCAAAGTGAAACAGACATTTTTGTTCTGATTTCAAATTTAAAGTAGTTGTAAGTACCGTTATCATGACAAAAGTTCCTTACTCCTTGCTGTAAAAGACAATAAAACTAGTTGATTGACTCCATCATCATATCTAGCTTATTTCACATTTTTGAGGGAAAGAGGAACATGAAACTATTTTTGAAGGAAGGCCTTTGAAAATGATGTTAGATAATGAAGGAAGGAGGGCTGATATTATTTATCCATTAAAGTGAAGTACACAGACACTTTACATCATATGTAATCTAATTTCTTAACAAGTCTTTGTGAGATAGATGTCAATATTACGGTTTTATAGATGAGAAAGCAGATGCATAGAGGTTAAGTAACTGGGGGTCAAGCCAGGACTCAAAGCCTTTGTGCTTTTCACAACATAATATTTCTGCTATACAATTTAAAAGGTCAATACATTGTGATTTTTGGACAATTGTTTAGTATTTTAATGTTAGTCTGAACTTTGGAAACCATATCTGAAAAAGTCATAGCTTCTACATATTTATGGTGTCTAACCTCCCCACCAGGTGTCAGAAAGTGGGTTAACTCATTCACTTTTATTGTGTAGGTGACTAAGAGTAGTTAGTTGTGTTGATTTTAGTTGAATTATTATTATTATTTTTTTTAGATGGAGTCTTGCTCTGCATGCTGGAGTGCAGTGGCGCGATCTTGGGTCACTGCAGCCTCCACCTCCCAGGCTCAGGTGATTCTCTTGCCTCAGCCTCCTGAGTAGCTAGGACTATAAGCTCGCACCACCACGCCTCGCTAATTGTGTATTTTTAGTGGAGATGAGGTTTTGCAATGTTGGCCAAGCTGGTCTCAAACTCCTGACCTCAGGTGATCCACCCTCTCAGCCTCCCAAAGTGCTGAGATTACAGGTGTGAACCATCATGCCTGGCCAATTTTAGTTGAATTCTATTTAGTCGACTCATTGACTTAATGTAAGTTTCTTCACTGAGCATGGGAGACCAAAAAAAGTGGGGAGTGACCAAGGGAGTGATAAAAGAGAAAGAAGCTCATGTGCCAGCTACTATATCTAGTGTTGGAACCAATATTATATTACTGATTTGTTTAACTTCAAAGCTCCTGCTTTTTCGACTATATACTAATGTCTTTTTTACTGCAAATCCTTAAATCATGTAGTAGTCTACTTCTGGCCAAATTACTTTTTTCTCAATGCTGCTGGCTTAGTTAACTTGGGCATTTGCTGGAGAGTAGGTAAGAGTGAAGGTTACAAAACTGTAACAAGTTATACATTTCTCAAGAGAGAAAAATAGTTGCTCCCTAAATGCAGTGAACTGTGTTGTAAGTTTCTCTGTAGTTTCAAAACCCAGAAAAATAGGAGAAAAATGAATGATTCAATCAAATATATCTCCACTGCTAGAAAGTTAACTCAAATGTGTTAAGTATATGTTCTTTAAAGGAAGATTATAATCTAATGTATATGAGAGACTCATTTAATGTCAGATGTTATTACTCAGAACACTCCAGTGATTTAAAAAAAATTAAAACAATGAGAATGAATCTTGTTTATGAGGCAACATGTATACTTTAATATTACATGGGAAGGTTTAGAGTATGGAATCTGTATATAAGTAGGTTGGAAACCAAGATAATGGAATTCTTTTTATTACTTTATTACGTTATTGATAATAAATTCTATTTATTACGTTATTGAATAATGGTGTAACTTAACCTCTCTATGGATTTTTACCAGAGAAAGGATATTTAGTACCTGCTATTTTGCCTAAATTAGTGAAGTAATTTCAAGAAGAAACAATGACTGCATGTGGAGTTGTTAAAAACTATTCACATTAATTAACCAATACCACTTATAAATATCTTATTTGACATTGGTTTTTATTAACTGCTATTGAATGTTTAAATTTGAGTGCCTTAAACTGGAAGTGTGTTACAGTACAAAGAATTTAGACTTTAGAGCCAGACAGCCTTGTGTGAATCTGGGATTTGCTGTTTTATACCTATCTGACTGGTGAGCTTTAGTTTCTTTATTTGTGAATTGGTGGCTGTATTAGTTATCAATTGCTGTGTAACAAATTACCACAAACTTAGTGAGTTAAAACAATATACATTTATTATCTCACAGTTTCTCTGAATCAGGAATCTAGGGGTTATGTCCTTAGCTTGAGGGTATCTCATGAGGCTACAAAATGTTGGCAAGGACTAGGGTCTTTACAGAAGGCTTGACTGGGGTAGAACCTGTTTCTAAGCTCATCTATTACTGGAGAGGATTTAGTTTCTTGCATGCTGTTGGACTAAGGGCCTTAGTTCCTTGTTAGTGATATCAAAGGCTGCTCTCAGTTTCTTTGATGTGGGACCCTCCAAATGACAGCTTGCTTCATCTAAAGCAATTAGGTAAAGAGCTGGCTAACAAGATGGAGGTCAGAATCTTTTGTATCTAATAACGAAAGTGACATCCCCTCAATGTTGAGGTATTCTATTGTTTAGAATCAAATTAAGAGGAGGGGAACAAGGGAATGGATATGAGGAAGCCAGATTATTGGAGTCATCAGAATCTTTTCTGCCATAGGGGCAATAATATTTACTTCAAAAGATTGTTTTGGAGATTAAAAGAAGCAATATGTATTTGAAGTTTTTTATTTTTGGTCTGATCTTAAATTATCTTTGTGGTTATTACCTGTTAGTCTTTTGTACAGGAACCAAATTTGCTATCATTACTAATATTGTTTACTATTTCCCATTTTTTTCTTGCCATCCAGACTTTGTGGAATGCACTTCTTCTATTTGTAATGATTACCTCCAGCAATTTGACTTGTAAAATTGTATTCATCTTCCAGGATTTATCTGAAATGCTGATTTTTCCATAAACATTCCTTGATTCATTCTTCTCTGACCCAGAAGTCATCTCTCTCATCTGATGTCCTGTAACAACTTTGCGCAAACTTATTATGGCATTTGTCAGTCTGCCTTACATTTTTCCTTGTTATTTAGATTATGACCTCCCTGAAGGCAAGGATTGCATTTTAATCTTTTCTGTTTCCCTTAATCCTTTTCTGTATTCTGATGTTGTTGTAACATCATCTTTTAAACATAGTAGGACAATATTTGTTGATTAATGAATTAGTTTTCCAAGGTTTAGCAGTTTAATAACTTATAGAGACAGATATAAGGAATTTTAAATGGCTGTTGTTTTATGTGTTGTAATAACCAATATTTCTAGCACCATAGGAATGAAGTGTTTCACATAAGTTAATTTTCCAGTTAACTGCAAATACTTTTTACATGCCTAAAGTGATTTTATTTTAACCACTATTCATTTATTCTCTTTTACTCATCCATTTTTTTAAACAACAAATATATAGTAAGCATTTATTATATGAAAATGTCATATATTAGAGATTTGGAATGAAAATCTTTCTAATATGTTTTGTGTATTTTCCTAATGTAATTAACAGTACTTTATCTTATTAAAAGCATTTGTCTTCTTATTTTGGACTCAGGCATAGTATTATGAATGTCAGATATTGAACTATATAACATAGTTACACACACTATAGGAACTGTTAAACTATGTAAGACCCATTTGCCTCTACCGCAAATTATATTACTTTGGGGTTCTAAAACTACATTTTAGTTTTTTATTTTTTTTGTGTCACAGTTTTGCTATTTTTGGTTAGTTTTTAAGTCTCTTAGTTATTTTCTTCTTCTAATCTGCTGTATACAGGGAAATCAGGCAGCCAAGTATGCTATTCTGTATCAAGTGTGAATGCAGACTGAGTGAGATTGTTAGTTGAAAGTCAAATACATGAGATAGGACTTAAAATCTGTTGTGGTATCTGAAGTGAAGTTTTAAAAATTTCTTTTCTTTTAAGTTACATTCCAGAGAGTTGAAATTGACTCATGAGTTGCCTTACAAATCACACAAGACTTCCAAGTAAAGTCAAGGGTTATAGTTCAACTTTTTAGAAGTTTAGTTTCTGATATTGTCTTAGTATTCACAGATGGCTGCTAAATGTCACTGTATTTGTAAATCTACTTTGTCAGAAAAAAAATAATGGGTGCCTTATAAAGCAACACAATATCTGGATATGAGTGTGTTTAAAAAGCATGTTAGGCAATGGGATTACATATTGTTTGTCACATAAAATGAACTAAGGTAGTGAAGTCAGCCTACTTTTTATTTTATCAATGGGAAGTTAACTCACTGCCCATCATTGTTATCTTCAAAGTTTTTAAAATAGAATTATGATTTTTCTTTAGATTTCGTCTTTGATTATTAAGTAGCTCTGGCATTATGCTGATAACCATTTAGGTCTCTAATTCTGTGTCTAATCTTGTGAATGTTTATTTAGACTATAAAGAATAACAATGGTCTAATTTAGCTATATTATTTTGTAGTTATGTACTTTGGCAAGCATTCAGTAATATATAGGACTTGGATTTTTTCATTCTGGATATTTTTCAGTTAACTTAAAATTTTTTTTTTCTAGGTTAAAAAATGGCCATACTTTAGTAACTAATCAGCCTAATGCTTTGCTTATGAAAACTTTTACCATCATTATTTTTTCACTTTGGATTAAGAAAATGAATCCAGATATAGAAGAAAGTGCAGGATGTTGGATAAAAGTGCCTCTTAAACAGTGGAACATCTAAGAACTAATTTTCAAGAAGTTTTAAAGAAATAAAATTGTTATGCTTCGATTTTGGTATGGTATTGACTCTTTAGCACATAGGTAGCCCTCAAAAAAATCATCCAGTTTTCTAAATTATGGAAATTTTGTGGAAGACGTTGACCTGGATTTTGAGCCTCATCATGGCTTCATCGGAAGTTCATAGTGACCACAGGCTTTCATACAATTCTCAAGGTAGGATTCTTGCTTTTGAAACTGACCCAAAATATTGCTATTAAGTGTACAAGAAAAGATTCTGCATATTTAGTTTGGGTGGATACTTTTTTTTTTTGGATATGTAGTGATAGGAATAGAGGCCTACTGTGTCAAATCAGTGCTAATTTCCTAAACGTTAAGTGCTATGTGTCGTTTAACTTTTCCTACTGGTATTTAACACCCAGGGGATTTTAGAGTTGGCTGGTCTTTCTTGGAAAATGATAGACCCCAGGCCTTGTTCTTCTGAAACTTAAACTTTAATAAACTTCTTCATTACTAGAGTTTATGGGCAAGGACATGTTCAAAGAGAATCCAGACATTTATGCTGTGGAAGAAGAAACCAGATAAATTATAATACAAGACCTTTTAATATGAACTCTTTGTGAAAAAATACTTTTCCAAATGTAAGATTTCTGATCTAATGACTAGAATCTGGATAAAACAGTAAGAGTTGTAAGAAGTGCAACTTTTCATGTTCTAATCCTTATAATCTTAATCTATAGAATTGAGCTTTACGTCATAGGAATGGTCTTAACAAAACAGGCCCAAGAGTAAATGTCGTTTTGTTTTCCATGAATCAGACCAATCCTTATAGAATTATTGAAAGGCATATCTTTTGGATTTCTCTCCCACGAATACATAGTAACAGATAATTTATTGGTGCCAATGAACCAGATTTTCAAACTATTACAGATTGATGTATGTGTCTAGAAGTCCATGTGTAAAAAGTATGGCTCTCAAAGTAAATCAGTGAAGCCATGGCATTTAGTGTGAACTCTAATTTTTTATAATAAGTGAAATAAATACTGTCTTTTAATTTATTTACATTGGGTTATAGTTTTATGGGAGTTTATATTAGTGGGTAAACTCCATGTGTAGACACTGAGGCAATAGCAGACATTTGGTTTCCTTTAGTGGTAAATCTAGCTGAAAGAAGGTACGGCTAAGAAGGTAGATGCATAATATTTAGTACATCTAAGTGAGGAAAATGTGTTTAATAGTTCTCTGAAATTTTAGTCAAGCTGTTTTTAAAATAGCTTTATTGAGATATTACTATACATAACATATAATTCACCCATTTAAAGTATAAAATTCAGTGGTTTTTAGTGTTTTCAGCATTGTACAACTATCACAATAACCTATTTTATCTTACTTTATTTTTTGGCACTAGTGTCATCGCCAACATAATCAATTTTAAAACATTTTCTTCACTCCAAAAAGAAGCCTATACTTCTTGGTGGTCACTCCCAAATTCCCTCCAATCCAGCCTTCCCCTCCAGCCGAAGCCAACCTTAAACCTTCTGCCTTTAGAGATTTGCCTATTCTGGATATTTCATATAAATGCAATCATATATGGCATTTTGTGACCTGTTCTTTTACTTAGCGTAATGTTTTAAATGTTAGATAATGAACTTTGATTATCAAGACAGTTATTATGAAGGTTCATTCATGTCATAGTATGCATCAGTATTGCATTTTTGTTGTAAAATAATATTCCATTGTGTGGATATGCTAAATTTTGTTTCTCTATTCATTATTTGATGGAAATTTGATTTAATTCCTCTTTTTGAGTATTATGAATAATGCTGGTTACAACATTCACATCTAAATTTTTATGTGGATGTGCGTTTTCATTTCTATTGTGTATATACCTGAGAATAAAATTGCTGGACCATATGATTAACTCCATGTTTAAAATTTTGAGGAATTGTCAGATGGTTTTTCAAAATGGCTACAGCATTTTACATTCCCACTGATGATTTCTTTTCTTTTCTTTTCTTTGAGATGGAGTCTTGTTCTGTCCCCCAGGCTGGAGTGCAGTGGTGCAATCTCGGCTTACTGCAACCTCCACCTCCTGGGTTCAAGTGATTCTCCTGCCTCGGCCTTGCAAGTAGCTGAGACTACAGGAGCCTGCCACCACACCTGGCTAATTTTTCGTATTTTTAGTAGAGACAGAGTTTCACTGTGTGATGATTTCTTAAAAAATAATAATTTCTACAAGGCTATAGAGATTCTGTTTTGGATAACTTTCAAAAACAGATTCTATCTGAACTAAACTTTTTTCTTTTACATATGTGTGCTTTTCATTGTTTTTTATTTCAATGTAAAATTTTCATATTTCTTATAGAATTTAGCTCTTAGGATCCATGTTTTAAAAATTAAAAAAGTAAAATAGTCCTTCATAAGTAATATTAAAGTAATTGCAACTTAATCTTCAGATTTTAAACTTTTATTCTTTCATTTTTAATACAACTTTTTTTTATACATACCTCACATACAATGATTCATAGTTTTAACTGACATAGTTGTTATTTATATTGCTGCTTCTTTGTTCCGTTAAATTTTCTTTTCTTCCATGTGTTTTTTTTTCTGGATTCTCTGCCTTGTGATTACAAAGAGGAATTCCTGACTTATCTTGAACACTACCAGCTAACTATTCCAATAAGGGTTGATCAAAATGGAGCATTTCTCAGCTTTACTGTGAAAAATGATAAACACTCAAGGAGAAGACGGAGTATGGACCCTATTGATCCACAGCAGGCAGTATCTAAGTTATTTTTTAAACTTTCAGCCTATGGCAAGCACTTTCATCTAAACTTGACTCTCAATACAGATTTTGTGTCCAAACATTTTACAGTAGAATATTGGGGGAAAGATGGACCCCAGTGGAAACATGATTTTTTAGACAACTGTCATTACACAGGATATTTGCAAGATCAACGTAGTACAACTAAAGTGGCTTTAAGCAACTGTGTTGGGTTGGTAAGTAGATGCTATAATTTTAAACTTCTGATGGGAAAATAAGTTTTCTTTCCTCAGGTTAAAAAAAATATACATATATAGGTAGTTTAAGTAGGAAGATAATAGTTTAAAATTTTTTGCTATTTCTGCTGCCTTTGATTTTCTTTTTAATAATGTACTGGCTTTTCAAAGAACAGCTTTTAAAACTGTTATTAGAAGAGGAATGAACAAAACTTCAGGTTTCCCTTCAGACTTAAGTTTTTCTGTTCAAATGAGATATCTTTTCTGCATAAACAAAACTCAGTCATTTGTGAAGAATTTTAGGGTATGTTTGTATATATGTGTATTATGGCAGGAAACCATAACACTGATCTTTTTATAATATCTTTCTTTTGGTAGGTGACATATCTTAAAATTACTTTTGAGCTACTTACAGTTCTTGAAGAAAATCTTTTATATGAGGGTCTATGAGATAATTTTTCCATATATTTATATGAAGATTGATGATAAATCTTATTTTACTTAGAAAATGGGTTCCAGGCTGGGTGAGGTGGCTCATGTCTATAATCCTAGTGTTTTGGAAGGCCAAGATGGGAGGATTGCTTGAGGCTAGGAGATCAAGAACAGCTGGGCAGCATGGCGAGACCCCATTTCTAAAACGATTTTTTGAAGAAAGAATAAAAAAAGAAAACGGGTTCAAGAATACTGGGTTTATCCTGGGCATTTGAGTCCATTCAAAGTTTCACATAGTAATAATTGCAAAACAAAGCAAATTTCCATGCTTTCTCTTCTGTGTCTACCCTGTTCAGTCTAATGTAGATGTTCTGTTAAAGCTGTATCTGTGAAAAGAGTACAAACGTTTTCATGCTCTTTTTCTTTTTCTTTTTTTTATAACGGTTTTTCTTTCTTATTATAACATACCCATATGCTTATTTCTGTTTCAATATAAAATAACTGTAATTCAAGGTGGATTTAAATAAGTTATAAATTTGGAAGGACTATCAAGAACTACACAATGGAGAAAAACATTTCACTGTAGATGTATATAAAAAAGTGCTCTGATTATCTACTTTCGATCTCTGTAAAGTAAAATGAACCAAAATATTTACTTAGGTTGTAAAATTTAGGTTTAATTTCTAAAATAGACAAATTGAGCACACTCATTGCTAGTTTCTCTATAATCAGTGTTAGGACTTTATGTATAAAACAGATTTATCTTTTTGAATAAAATTATCCAAAATAAATGTGTTCTAAAACTTCTTATATGTTAAAATGACACACTATTAATTATCAAGAAAAATACTATTTCTAGTCATTGACTAATCCCTTTACATTTGGCATTAACATTATGCCATTGCAAGTTTTTACAGGGTGACGAAATGAGCAAATTCAAGATTTAGAAAAAACAAAACTAAACTAATTTCATTGTGGGATTTGAGAAAAGAGTTATTGTAGATATGAAGATAATTTAGAACATTTTGGAGACATTAAGCCCTATTCAAAGTCTATGGCATTGAAAATGAAGATAGAATGAATTTAAACCACATTTTGTGACAAAATTTAAAATATTTCTTGTTAATTTTTTCTTGTTTGACATATAATAAGACAGAGAATACATAGTAGGTAGTTAATACTATTTAAAAAAATTGAAATAGAATTAAAGTAGGTGTGAGATAAAGGAGAGAAAGCAATTGAAGATGGCTGAGATATCTCTCTTGGATGAGAGTATATATGAATGCTGGCCGGGTGCGGTGGCTCAGCCTATAAGCCCAGTACTTTGGGAGGCTGAGGTGGGTGGATCACAAGGTCAAGAGATCGAGACCATCCTGGTCAACATGGTGAAACTCCATCTCTACCAAAAATACTAAAAAAGGAATTAGCTGGGCATGGTGGCGCGCACCTGTAATCCCAGCTACTCAGGAGGCTGAAACAGGAGAATTGCTTGAACCCAGGAAGCGGAGGTTGCAGTGAGCCGAGATTGCACCATTGCACTCCAGCCTGGGCAACAAGACCAAAACTC